TTTTCATCATAGGTACACGTCAACTATGACAGACAAAATTAGATTTTTTTTTCCAGGAAATCACATTGTAGGATTTTTAATGAATTTATTTGCAAATTATGGTGGAAAATAAGTATTTGGTCACCTACAAACAAGCAAGATTTCTGGCTCTCACAGACCTGTAACTTCTTCTTTAAGAGGCTCCTCTGTCCTCCACTCATTACCTGTATTAATGGCACCTGTTTGAACTTGTTATCAGTATAAAATACACCTGTCCACAACCTCAAACAGTCACACTCCAAACTCCACTATGGCCAAGACCAAAGAGCTGTCAAAGGACACCAGAAACAAAATTGTAGACCTGCACCAGGCTGGGAAGACTGAATCTGCAATAGGTAAGCAGCTTGGTTTGAAGAAATCAACTGTGGGAGCAATTATTAGGAAATGGAAGACATACAAGACCACTGATAATCTCCCTCGATCTGGGGCTCCACGCAAGATCTCACCCCGTGGGGTCAAAATGATCACAAGAACGGTGAGCAAAAATCCCAGAACCACACGGGGGGACCTAGTGAATGACCTGCAGATAGCTGGGACCAAATTAACAAAGCCCACCATCAGTAACACACTACGCCGCCAGGGACTCAAATCCTGCAGTGCCAGACGTGTCCCCCTGCTTAAGCCAGTACATGTCCAGGCCCGTCTGAAGTTTGCTAGAGTGCATTTGGATGATCCAGAAGAGGATTGGGAGAATGTCATATGGTCAGATGAAACCAAAATAGAACTTTTTGGTAAAAACTCAACTCGTCGTGTTTGGAGGACAAAGAATGCTGAGTTGCATCCAAAGAACACCATACCTACTGTGAAGTATGGGGGTGGAAACATCATGCTTTGGGGCTGTTTTTCTGCAAAGGGACCAGGACGACTGATCCGTGTAAAGGAAAGAATGAATGGGGCCATGTATCGTGAGATTTTGAGTGAAAACCTCCTTCCATCAGCAAGGGCATTGAAGATGAAACGTGGCTGGGTCTTTCAGCATGACAATGATCCCAAACACACCGCCCGGGCAACGAAGGAGTGGCTTCGTAAGAAGCATTTCAAGGTCCTGGAGTGGCCTAGCCAGTCTCCAGATCTCAACCCCATAGAAAATCTTTGGAGGGAGTTGAAAGTCCGTGTTGCCCAGCGACAGCCCCAAAACATCACTGCTCTAGAGGAGATCTGCATGGAGGAATGGGCCAAAATACCAGCAACAGTGTGTGAAAACCTTGTGAAGACTTACAGAAAACGTTTGACCTGTGTCATTGCCAACAAAGGGTATATAACAAAGTATTGAGAAACTTTTGTTATTGACCAAATACTTATCTTCCACCATAATTTGCAAATAAATTCATTAAAAATCCTACAATGTGATTTTCTGGATTTTTTTTCCTCATTTTGTCTGTCATAGTTGACGTGTACCTATGATGAAAATTACAGGCCTCTCTCATCTTTTTAAGTGGGAGAACTTGCACAATTGGTGGCTGACTAAATACTTTTTTCCCCACTGTAGATGGTCTCAACTTACTATTGAGAGTAAGAATAGTAGAATACACCAGGTGGAATTTCGAAATGTGGTTGTGCATCAGCAGTTTCTCTCTTGTTATGTCAGTCACTGACAGTCACTCAATTTGCCATGTCAGCTAGCAACTTTTAGATTGGTATTTAGTCTAGCCAGCTATCTAAACATGAAGTAATCATGGCCAAATACCGACCGGGCACACAGGGCACGTGCCTGGGGACCCTTAATTTATTTTGTCATTCTCACTCAGATATCATATTAACATGGCATAAGTAATTACAAAATGTGTAGAATTGCAGGAAATGTGCTTTAAAACGGCAAAAATTTATCTCAACCACATGGCAAAATGGGTAGAATTCCTGGAAATTTGCTCTAAAACTGCAAATTAATTCTCTGCCCAGTGGCATAATGAGTAGAATTGCATGAAATGTGTTATAAAATTGCAGTTTTCTCTCCGCCCCATGGCAAAATGTAGAGAATTGCAGAAAACTTGCTTTAAAATTGCACATTTTGTCTACGGCCCATGGCAAAATGTGGAGAATTGCATTTGAATGTTTTGCCACGAGGTGGGATGCCCCCCAAACAAATCTCGCTTAGGGCTCCCAAAAGGCTAGAGCCGGCCCGGCCCTGCACTGCACATTGTTTTTTTGTCCATAAAAGAAAGTCTAATAAAATCTACTGCAATAACATGCCACTCAGGCTGCAGCTTGTGAAATCCTGTGGATTGAAAACAGTGACAGGACGGTGAAATACAGCTGTGATCTTCTGACAGATATTTTCTTTGGCAACTACTTTATTTTAAAGGACCTCAACAAAGTGTCACTGATTTCACAATGTCACGTTTTATACACCCATTGAAGATACAAATCTCATTAGGTGTCAGAACTCAGTTTCTCTTGAGTAGATGTCAGTGAAAACTCCTTCAGGGTTTGTAGCACTTTTCCTACTGAATGAGTTACAAATTCTAATCATTACGTTTAGAAATAAATTATAATACCTAGAATTACACCTTGATCTAAAAGTTCTTCAAAAAAGCCTTTGATCCCAGAGAAGATATTATATTGTACAAGTCACAAGTTTCTTCAAAATCCCTCTCGCCATATTCTACAGAATAACATGGGGTTATCGGTGCAGTGCATCTCTAAAAAAGACAATTGGACACAACAATCCAAACAACTGAATTCAATCGACTTCCTTTGTAAAGCAGATACAGTGCCTTTCAAAAGTATTCACCCCCCTTGGCGTTTTTCCTATTTTGTTGCATTACAACCTGTAATTTAAATGGATTTTTATTTGGATTTCATGTAATGGACATACACAAAATAGTCCCAATTGGTGAAGTGAAATGAAAAAAATAACTTGTTTCAAAAAATTATAATAAATAAATAACATAAAAGTGGTGCGTGCATATGTATTCACCCCCTTTGCTATGAAGCCCCTAAATAAGATCTGGTGCAACCAATTACCTTCAGAAGTCACATAATTAGTTAAATAAAGTTCACCTGTGTGCAATCGAAGTGTCACATGATCTCATTAAATATACACCTGTTCTGAAAGGCCTCAGAGTCTGCAACACCACCAAGCAAGCGGCATCATGAAGACCAAGGAGCTCTCCAAACAGGTCAGGGACAAACAAAGATCAAGGTTGGGTTATACAAAAATATCAGAAACTTTGAACATCCCACAGAGCACCATTAAATCCATTATTAAAAAATAGAAAGAATATGGCACCACAACAAACCTGCCAAGAGAGGGCCGCCCACCAAAACTCACGGAACAGGCAAGGAGGGCATTAATCAGAGAGGCAACAAAGAGACCAAAGATAATCCTAAGGAGCTGTCCATAGGACCACTTTAAGACGTACACTCCACAGAGCTGGGCTTTATGGAAGAGTGGCCAGAAAAAAGCCATTGCTTAAAGAAACAAATAAGCAAACACGTTTGGTGTTCGCCAAAAGGCATGTGGGAGACTCCCCAAACATATGGAAGAAGGTACTCTGGTCAGATGAGACTAAAATTGAGCTTTTGAGCCATCAAGGAAAACGCTATGTCTGGCACAAACCCAACAACTCTCATCACCCGAGAACACTATCCCCACAGTGAAGCATGGTGGTGGCAGCATCATGCTGTGGGGATGTTTTTCATCGGCAGGGACTGGGAAACTGGTCAGAATTGAAGGAATACAGGGATATTCTTGAGGGAAACCTGTTTCAGTCTTCCAGAGATTTGAGACTGGGATGGAGGTTCACCATCCAGCAGGACAATGACCCTAAGCATACTGCTAAAGCAACACTTGAGTGGTTTAAGGGGAAACCTCTAAATGTGTTGGAATGGCCTAGTCAAAGCCCAGACCTCAATCCAATCGAGAATCTGTGGTATGACTTAAAGATTGCTGTACACCAGCGGAACCCATCCAACTTGAAGGAGCTGGAGCAGTTTTGCCTTGAAGAATGGGCAGAAATCCCAGTGGCTAGATGTGCCAAGCTTATAAAGACATACCCCAAGAGACTTGCAGCTGTAATTGCTGCAAAAGGTGGCTCTTCAAAGTATTGACTTTGGGGGGATGAATAGTTATGCACGCTCAAGTTTTCTGTTTTTTTGTTTTATTTCTTGTTTGTTTCACAAAAAAAAATATTTTGCATCTTCAAAGTGGTAGACATGTTGTGTAAATCAAATGATACAAACCCCCAAAAATCCATTTTAATTCCAGGTTTTAAGGCAACAAAATAGGAAAAATGCCAAGGGGGGTGAATACTTTCGCAAGCCACTGTATGTAAAGGTGATATGTAAATTAATCTGCTCTAATGACTAGAGCAATACATTTATAATAATTGGACTGAATTGATTAGTGTGCCATTTAAATCTGATAGGAAGCATCTATCATACTAGTAATACCATCTCAAATGAATCCAAATTGATTGCTACATTTTTAACCCCATATATATCCTTTCGATTATTTAATGCTTTTCAAACCCTTTTCAAAGGGACTGATCAATATATCAATATATGATTATACTTCCATTCACCAGAACCACCCATATCTGCCTCACTTCAACCATATGATACAAACAGGTAACCCTCTCCCAATCTCAATGGAAGAAAAGTCTGAACTAAAACCAGTCTTTAAAGGACAACTTCATTCTGCACCAACCAAATATAATAACTTCGGGTGGAAATTTGGATCACTATTTTTACCAACAATCAAGCTTCGAGTGGCCGAGATCAATTATTGCGAGATGGCTGAATGACTAGAAATTAAAGTTTCTGAACCAATTTGGGGTTTGAGTCCTCAGACCTGGGCTCAGCTGTTTTGGGGTCTCAGTAAGATGAAAACCTATAGGTTGGCTGGCTGGCTGCTTATATCGGGGGCCAAACCAAGGGCTTTGACAGATGTTGTCCGTTGCATCACTGTTGCTGCTCTCTGTTTGTGGTGACGTGTTCAACTGGTCCCTCCCCTAAATGAGAAGTCCCATGAGGCCGGAGTAAAGGTTCAGATTCACACTCAGTCAGAGCCTCCTCTCCCCCACCAGCTGGGCTTTGGGGTTGAACCCCAGGCTTCCAAACGTTAGTTTCCTCCCAAGAGCAGCGGGTAGCATTCCGTAGCATACCGTGGTGTACCATAGCATACCGTAGCGTACTGTAGCTTACCGTAGCGTACTGTAGCTTACCGTAGCATACTGTAGCATACCATATGTACCGTAGCATACATAGCGAACTACCCAATCTCATTACCCGTCAAGTCTTCATGATGGAATGGACCAATCACCTCCCTCCATGTGGCTATAGTGACCACATTTCAACTTCTGTCCCTTCCTGGTTCATCTCTGTCTTCTGTCTCTTCATAACTACCATCGCTATAGAATATCAGCACATAATGCTATCCTTTCCAGCTAACACATTAAACACTCATTATCCAGTCTTTGTCTTCATAAAAGCTGTTGTATATGGTGCAACTAATATTATTATGCAGTTATGTTTAGTTTGTTTTGTTGTTTTTGGGCTTTGCATTTGAATGTTGTATGCTGCTGGGATAATCTACATCTGGTTAATGTCTCCTATTGGCCAATCGTTGTGTTTAATGAAGTTTTATTAATCAATCAATCAATCAATCAATTTTATTTTATATAGCCCTTCTTACATCAGCTAATATCTCGAAGTGCTGTACAGAAACCCAGCCTAAAACCCCAAACAGCTAGTAATGCAGGTGTAGAAGCACGGTGGCTAGGAAAAACTCCCTAGAAAGGCGAAAACCTAGGAAGAAACCTAGAGAGGAACCAGGCTATGAGGGGTGGCCAGTCCTCTTCTGGCTGTGCCGGGTGGAGATTATAACAGAACCATGCCAAGATGTTCAAAAATGTTCATAAGTGACAAGCATGGTCAAATAATAATCAGGAATAAATCTCAGTTGGCTTTTCATAGCCGATCATTAAGAGTTTGAAAACAGCAGGTCTGGGACAGGTAGGGGTTCCATAACCGCAGGCAGAACAGTTTAAACTGGAATAGCAGCAAGGCCAGGCGGACTGGGGACAGCAAGGAGTCACCACGGCCGGTAGTCCCGACGTATGGTCCTAGGGCTCAGGTCTCTCAGTTGGCTTTTCATAGCCGATCATTAAGAGTTGAAAACAGCAGGTCTGGGACAGGTAGGGGTTTCGTAGCCGCAGGCAGAACAGTTGAAACTGGAATAGCAGCAAGGCCAGGCGGACTGGGGACAGCAAGGTGTCATCATGCCCGGTAGTCCTGACGTATGGTCCTAGGGCTCAGGTTCTCAGAGAGAAAGAGAGAACGAGAGAATTAGAGAGAGCATACTTAAATTCACACAGGACACTGGATAAGACAGGAGAAGTACTCCAGGTATAACCAACTAACCCCAGCCCCCCGACACATAAACTACTGCAGCATAAATACTGGAGGCTGAGACAGGAGCGGTCCGGAGACACTGTGGCCCCATCCGAAGAAACCCCCGGACAGGGCCAAACAGGAAGGATATAACCCCACCCACTCCGCCAAAGCACAGCCCCCGCACCACTAGAGGGATATCCCCAACCACCAACTTACAATCCTGAGACAAGGCCGAGTATAGCCCACAGAGGTCTCCACCACAGCACAAACCAAGGGGGGGGGCGCCAACCCAGACAGGAAGATCACGTCAGTAACTCAACCCACTCAAGTGACGCACCCCTCCCAGGGACGGCATGAAAGAGCACCAGCAAGCCAGTGACTCAGCCCCTGCAACAGGGTTAGAGGCAGAGAACCCCAGTGGAGAGGGGAACCGGCCTGGCAGAGACAGCAAGGGCTGTTCGTTGCTCCAGCCTTTCCGTTCACCTTCACACTCCTGGGCCAGACTACACTCAATCATATGACCTACTGAAGAGATAAGTCTTCAGTAAAGACTTAAAGGTTGAGACTGAGTCTGCGTCTCTCACATGGGTAGGCAGACTGTTCCATAAAAATGGAGATCTATAGGAGAAAGCCCTGCCTCCCGCTGTTTGCTTAGAAATTCTAGGGACAATTAGGAGGCCTGCGTCTTGTGACCGTAGCGTACGTATTGGTATGTACGGCAGGACCAACTCGGAAAGATAGGTAGGAGCAAGCCCATGTAACGCTTTATAGGTTAACAGTAAAACCTTGAAATCAGCCCTTGCCTTAACAGGAAGCCAGTGTAGGGAAGCTAGCACTGGAGTAATATGATCAAATTTCTTGGTTCTAGTCAGGATTCTAGCAGCCGTATTTAGCACTAACTGAAGTTTATTTAGTGCTTTATCCGGGTAGCCGGAAAATAGAGCATTGCAGTAGTCTAACCTAGAAGTAACAAATGCATGGATTAATTTTTCTGCATCATTTTTGGACAGAAAATATCTGATTTTTGCAATGTTACGTAGATGGAAAAAAGCTGTCCTTGAAACAGTCTTGATATGTTCGTCAAAAGAGAGATCAGGGTCAAGAGTAACGCCTAGGTCCTTCACAGTTTTATTTGAGACGACTTTACAACCATCAAGATGAATTGTCAGATTTAACAGAAGATCTCTTTGTTTCTTGGGACCTAGAACAAGCATCTCTGTTTTGTCCGAGTTTAAAAGTAAAAAGTTTTCAGCCATCCACTTCCTTATGTCTGGAACACAGGCTTCTAGCGAGGACCCTCTTACAGTAAGGTCCTAGGAGACATTAACCAGATGTAGAGTATCCCAGCAGTATGCAACATTCAAATGCAAAGCACAAAAACAATAAAACAAATAAACGTACTGTAACTGCACAATAATATTGGTTGCACCATATTCAACAGCTTGTATGAAGACAAAGACTGGTTAATGAGTGTTTAATGTCTAGAGGGCCTGTTATTGCTCTGGGTTTTTATTTCCTACATGGACAATGTTTATGAGAGCCTGTACTCTGGCAATAAAGTTCCATAAAGACTTAATCAAGTATTCAATTTCAAGTCACTTCATGACTTACTGGCACTCTGTCTCTGTCACACTCAATCTTCCAATGCATGTAGATGCTAGAGAAGGTCAGGGGTAGATTTGGGGAATATGATTGAGAAGTTCTCTAAGAAAATCTCTAAGCCACACCAAGGTCTTTTTCAGTTATCTGTTATGCCCAATGGGCTATGTGCTTCTCTGAATGTTGGTACATACACAAATAAGTATAAAACGTAAAATAGTAAGTCAGTTATTTGTTGTTGGCGTTAGTATCCAGGTAAATTATACGTGAATGTTTGTACGGATTATCAGTATTTTTAGCAATTGTTTTGCTGAATGCACAAATTGACTCCCACCCTCCGTTCTTCTCTGATAAGCAAGTAGCAGGTGTCTGTTGACATAGACTGTCATAAACAATGTCTACAATTAGGTGACTAAAAGGCATGTTGGTGGTAAAATATCAATGCGACCAATGAGAAGAAAAAAAAGAAAGAACTCAAAGAGACTTCATTAAATAAAGAGTAACGTGAAGTTCAGCACTAATCCACTGGGGCTAGGAACTCAATCAAGTATTCAATTATAATCTATTAATCTAGTCTGGAAATCGTCCACTTTCGGCTATGCATATTTAAACACAGTTTGAAGGCAATGCTACTCCGAGTCCCTGAGATACTGATGAAGATAATGGTCTTCACTTTGACTAAAATGAGGCCAGAAAAGTATCTATTCTTTGTAGGATCTTAACAATTAACTTTAATTAGGTAGATAGGACTGGTAAAGGGTATAGTAGTGTGATGAAAATAGTTTATCAGGGACAAATACCCCCTCCAACATAGTTTGAATAACATTGTGTTTTTGTTACCATTCAGTACATCACAATTAGCTACATTCCTTCCTAAAATATAGGACGTCAAGGTTTGCATAAAGTCTGTTTTAAGACATTGTATTCAACTACAAACCTCATAAACATACTACATACTGTAGGCCTATACAGTAGCACGTTCCCTGGGAAGTTTTAAAAACAATAATTCTCCATTAATTGTGGTGTCCTGTCTGAAGCTATACATTTACAGATTATATTTACCCTGTCTCCATACCCTCCATAGTACTCTGCTTTCCTTTCAGACTTAGACCTGACCTGCATCAGTGATTATCTGCATGGTGTCTGCTTGCTGCTTTCTTTGAGCTGTGTTTACCAGTTACACCGTAGTCTGAGTGGAATATTCTTATAAACAGAATCCAGAGAACATGTCTTTATTTCATTATGTTCCCTTGTAAAATGTTCTATACATTTTTTTTTGCTTTTAGTCTGCTTGTGTGGATTTCCTGCTGGGCTTGACTAGCTGTTGTTGACAGTGGTTCCTATACTGTGTCAATATACTGAGGGGAAACCTGTGCTCTGTTCTGTCCCAGCTTCAGTACCTCCCTCCCCCTTGGGGAGACTGCAAGTCCACTCCCATCGACTCAGAGTTCTTCTCCACGTACAGCATCACAGCCTGCCGTATCGACTGTGAGACACGCTACCTGGTGGAGAACTGTAACTGCAGGATGGTCCACATGCCCGGTACTCACACACATCTTGCTTGACCATCACATAGTTCATCAATGGAATATGATTAATAATGTTTTCTGTGTTGTTGTTGTTGTTGTTATCCATAGGAATATGTAGTGATGTTAATGGGATGAAGTTGACATATTTGTTTTGTCCTTTCTCTCTCTCTCTCTCTCTCTGACGTGTTGAATAGGGACCTCAACGGTATGCACACCCGAGCAGTACAAAGACTGTGCAGACCCAGCTTTAGGTAAGGCAGAAACAATAGTAATGATATAAGGATTAGGAGTATGAACCAGTTATCACTGATCAGTAGATACACCACACAACATTTTACTTTGAGATATGAGTAAGAAAGCATTTATACAATACAGCATTTTGAAATAAGGAACTGCTGAGCAGCAAAGGTTGTTTTTGCAGCTTCTTTTGAATTGCACTACTTTTTGTCATGGGGCCTATAGTGAATTGGGCCCAGGACTGCCATTCTATTGTCATCCCCCACAGACTTCTTGGTAGAGAAAGACAATGACTACTGTGTGTGTGAGACACCCTGCAGCATGACACGCTATGGCAAGGAGCTGTCCATGGTGAAAATACCCAGTAAAGCCTCTGCCAAATATCTGGCCAAGAAATTCAACAAAACTGAACAATACATCGGGTAAGTTTCTGGATAGTTAAAGTGAGTTAACATACTGTAAAACTTCAATTAAATACAGTCTCAACTAGCTGCCTGTCCCTATTAATAGCCGGCAACGGCACACATTTCAGCAAATGAATGCCTGTTTCAAAGAAACGCCGGGTTTAAATGAATTATTTACAATTTACCATGAAATGTTTGCTAGGTTTAATGTTAGATTTGTTACATTAAATAATTCAGTAATGACTCTGAAAAAATATGGCAATCATCTGTTTTTATCGCTATCAAGAAACTGCTAGCCATTGGCTGCTAACAGCTGAGAACTTCTAGCTAACTGGCAAGCACGAAAACAGTTAACAACTTCGGGAGTACAGACCCCCAGAAATCGTCCGATCATGCTCTAGTGGCGAAAGTAAGAAATGCCGAAAATGCACAGTCAAAGAGGAGAATAATTATTCTGTCAAGGAAGTTTTCTTTTATTTTAAATAGAGGTATACTTAGACAAAATAAATGTGACACAGTGTGTGAATGATAACACATTAATGCAGGAAATTAAGAAATTGATTAAAATGCTGGAAGTGGATTAAACAATGAACTATGCAAATGAGCAAAAGTTTACATCAAGGAAATAGAAGCCTGGCTCAAACAGAAGCCTCTATCTATTAAGCGCCTGTTGTGTTCAGTGATTTAAGCAAATAATCACCCGGGCTATTAATTGAAGTTTTACGGTAAGTGACGTAACGATCATAGCATTTTGATGAAAATAAATCATATCATTAAAGTATGATATTGGTCTCCACCGTTCACCTTTAATGTAAAGTAATGCAAAATGTCTCAGAATTAGTCAATTAAATCAATCAATTGTATCTCTAAGATGTACATTATAATGTAACACCTTTTCTATTTATTTGTTTTTGTCTCTAGAGAAAACTTACTAGTCCTGGACATCTTCTTTGAGGCGTTGAATTATGAGAAGATTGAACAGAAGAAGGCGTATGAAATTGCAGGGTTGCTTGGTGAGAGATTGTTTCAAGTTTTCCCATCAGGTTCATTATCTGTTTTTACAGACTGAGAGGAAACACACTAGACCTGAACATCACATCCACAGCAAGCATTACATGTTGTCCCATTGTGTGATCATGCCTGCTGGGCTAAACTCCTTTTAAGACTATTTTATTTGAACCTGTAAGACTCGGTCGAATGCATTTTTATAATGTACTTGAAAAGAGCACTCAGTCAGGAGAAAAGCAAAGTCTGGATGGACAGTTTCTGACAGCTCTCCTCATCTCACTGAGAGACAGAGTTAAAGTTTCAGGAATCATTTTGTGCACTGTGTTATTATCTGTCTGACGGTGGTATTGTCTGTCTGTTTTTACATTATTTAGCAGACGCTCTTATCCAGAGCGACTTACAGGAGCAATTAGGGTTAAGTGCCTTGCTCAAGGGCACATCGACAGATTTTTCACCTAGTTGGCTCGGGGATTAGAACCAGCGACCTTTTGGTTACTGGCACAACGCTCTTAACCACTAAGCTACCTGCCGACTGTAGTATTGTCTGTCTGACTGTGGTATTGTCTGTCTGACTGTGGTATTGTCTGTCTGACTGTGGTATTGTCTGTCTGACTGTGGTATTGTCTGTCTGACTGTGGTATTGCCTGTTCATGTCTTTTCATCTGTCATCCTCTTTTCAGGTGACATTGGTGGCCAGATGGGTCTGTTCATTGGAGCCAGTGTTTTAACGATACTGGAAATATTTGACTACTTATATGAGGTAAAGTGGAGGCATTCACATTTGTTTAATCACTTAAAGGTATTCTCAAGGAGTAGAGTTGGGGTTATATGTTGAATGTACACAATTCATTCATGATGATGAAGTATCTGTGTTCAACTATTTGCATTGTCTGGTTTGTTGTGATGTTAACGAGATGCTCTTGTATTTAGGTATTTAAGGATAAAGTTTTGGGTTACTTCATGCGCAAGAAACGACCGCAGCGTTGTCCGAGCGACAATCTGGTAATTTGAGTCTCCCACAATGCACTGGTTTGTAGTTCTGCACTGGACTACAAACAAAGTAATGCACTGTAATGTGTCAGAATCTCAAGCCTTTTTCATGACCAATCAATGACAGATGTGGAACGCAAATCAAAGTGAGCACTTTTTCTTTAGTTATATACAGTGCCTTCAGAAAGTATTCATACCCCTTGACTTATTCCACATTTTGTTGTGTTACAGTCTGAATTCAAAATTGATTAAATATATATATTTTCTCACCCATCTACACACAATACCCCATAATGACAAAGTGAAAACATGTTTTTAGACATTTTGGCACATTTATTGAAAATGAAATACAGAAATATCTAATTTACATAAGTATTCACACCCCTGAGTCAATACTTTGTAGAATCACTTTGGCAGCGATTATAGCTGTGAGTCTTTCTGGGTACGTCTCTAAGAGCTTTCCACACCTGTATTGTGCAACATTTGCGCATTATTCTTTTGATCATTGCTAGACAACCATTTTCAGGTCTTGCCATAGATTTTGAAATAGATTTAAGTCAAAGCTGTAACTCGGCCATTCAGGAGCATCCACTGTCTTCTTGGTAGGCAACTCCAGTGTAGATTTGGCCTTGTGTTTTAGGTTATTGTCCTGCTGTAGTAGATTTAAGTCAAAACTGTAACTCGTGCCATTCAGGAGCATTTACTGTCTTCTTGGTAAGCAACTCCAGTGTAGATTTGGCCTTGGGTTTTAAGTTATTGTCCTGCTGAAAGGTGAATTAATCTCCCAGTGTCTGGTGGAAAGCAGACTGAACCAGGTTTTCCTCTAGGATTTTGCCTGTGCTTAGCTTCATTCCGTTTCTTCTTTATCCTGAAAAACTCCTCAGTCCTTAACGATTACAAGCATACCCATAACATGATGCAGCCAACACTATGCTTGAAAATATGGTAGTCAGTGGTACTCAGTAATGTGTTGTATTGGATTTGCCCCAAACATAACACTTTGTATTCAGGACAAAAAAGTGAATTGCTTTGCCACATTTTTTGCAGTATTACTTTAGTGCCATGTTGCAAACAGGATGCATGTTTTGGAATATTTTTTATTCTGTACAGGCTTCCTTCTTTTACCTCTGTCAATTAGGTTAGTATTGAGGAGTAACTACATTGTTGTTGATCCATCCTCAGTTTTCTCCTATTACAGTCATTGAACTCTGTAACTGTTTAAAGTCACCATTGGCCTCATGGTGAAATCCCTGAGCGGTTTCCTTCCTCTCCGGCAACTGAGTTAGAAAGGACGCCTGTATCTTTGTAGTGACTGGGTGTATTGATGCACCATCCAAAGTGTAATTAATAACTTCACCATGCTCAAAGGGATATCCAATGTCTGCTCATTTTACTTTGACCCATCTACCAATAGGTGCCCTTCTTTGCGAGGCATTGGAAAACCTCCCTGGTCTTTGTGGTTGAATCTGTGTTTGAAATTCATTGCTCAATTGAGGGACCTTACACATAATTGTATGTCCATGCAACTTATTATGTGACTTGTTAAGCAACATTTTTCTCCTGAACTTATTCAAGCTTGCGATAACAAAGGGGTTGAATACTTATTGACTCAATTTGTATTCATTTGTAAAAATGTCTAAAAACATAATTCCACTTTGACATTATGGGGTATTGTGTATAGAACAGTGACAAAAAAATCTAAATTTTATCAATTTTAAATTCAGGCTGTAAAACAAAAAAAAAGTGGAACAACTCAAGGGGTGTGAATACTGTCTGAAGGCACTGTATATGCCCATAGTCTGGTTCCAAGGTAGTGAAAAAGCCCTGGGTTTCTGATTCTGCATGAGTTATCTGCATGCACAGTTGCTTCAGTCTTGGAGTTTGGCCCATAAGCTGATGTGGTGGAAAAGGTTAGATAAAGATGTCCTGGCTCCACTACTGAGATAACTGCAGCTGCATGTGCCAAGAAGGTATTTCTCCTACTGATATTTTTGTAAAACCAAAACCTGAAAACCAAATAATAAATAAAAAAAACTCTAAGACTGAATGAACAGGAAGGCTTTAAAATACACTTCTGTTGTTACTTGGCTTTCAGCTCTTTTTTCATTATGTGTAAAATAGATAGTCCAGTTGGGTACAGCCTATAGCTTTGGACATGTTGACACTTGGATACAGTTTCACTTACAGTATCCTAAAAAAGCAGTCAAAAAGGTATATTGTAATTTAAACAGTTGAAAAGGTATATTGTATCAGACCTCAGGATAAGACCCAGGTGCAGACAGTTCGAAATAACAAAATATTATTTACAAACAGGGGGCAGGCAAACGACAAGTCAAGGGCAGGCAGAGGTCAGTAATCCAGGGCAGAGTCCGTAAGGTACAGAACGGCAGGCAGGCTCAGGGTTAGGGCAGGCAGAGGTCAATAATCCAGGGTGGTGTGACAAGGTACAGAACGGCAGGCAGGGTCAGGGTCAGGGTAGGCAGAATGGTCAAAACCGGGAGAACTAGAAAACAGGAACTAACAAGAACCAGGAGTACGGGGAAAACGCTGGTAGGCTTGACAAGACAAGACGAACTGGCAACAGACAAACAAAAAATACAGGTATAAATACACTGGGGATAATGGGGAAAATGGGCGACACCTGGAGGGGGGTGGAGACAAGAACAAGACAGGTGAAACAGATCAGGATGTGACAATTGTTATTTAAACAGTCAAAAATATATATTGTAATTTAAACAGTCGAAAAGGCAAGAGATGTTTGACAATTAAATTCATAGATATGGTTCTGTATTTTTGTTTGTTTGTTCAAATGGAAACAACAAGTTCATTCAGAGCATTCTATGTGACAAAGAGGAGAGAAAAGTAAACCATTTCAACTGGATGTACCCTGTGAGAGATCCGCTCCAGGCATCGATTAGTGTCTTTGGTATCACACTGTGTCAGCACTATCTCTCTCAGCTTGATAGTGGTAGAACCCATCATATCTGAACAGCTAAATCTGGACACATGGAGAGAAACACTTCTCCCAAACCTGTTTTCATGCCTGTTGCCTTAACTGTTTCATAGTGAATCAACAATACTATGCATGCCAGTCTCTCTTGGCTAAGAGTTAAGGAAAAACACTGCATCGCTTCTTGTTTTAATAAGAAACATGAATGTGTAGGAAATTCCAAATTATTTGCATAGTCAACTTACTCACAGCACTGACACACACACTTACCCCACATGCCACCAGGGGTCTTTTCACAGTCCCCAGGTCCAGAACAAATTCAAGGAAACATACAGCTTTATACAGAGCCATGATTGCATAAAACTCCCTTTCATCTCATATAGCGCAAGTGAACAGCAAACCTGGTTTAAAAAAAACGAATAAAGCAACACCTCACGGCACAAACCCTCTCCCCCATGTGACCTACTTTTTGTGTGTATGTACTGACATGTATGTGTAACTGATAGATGCGCACATACACACTACATGCAATTTTTTTTTAATGTATGTAAATTGTAAAGTATTTTGACTGTAATGTATTTTTCGTTATGTGTCGGAGCCCAGTAAGACTAGCTGTCGCCAATGGCGTCGGCTAATGGGGATCCTAGTCAAATCAAAACAGAGTAGAGTAGAAAAAACACCTTTGTGGCATCTCACAACAGTTTTTCCTCAGGCTTCAGCATTATAGATGCTTTTAATCAGCAGGAAACAACAATGTTATATTACATACCCTGACTAGAGGCACATACTGCAACATGAAACAAGGACATGGAGCTTTAGGTGGATGTAATACTGTTTTACTATAACACTGTTTCTCCACCAATGTCATGGAATCATCCATTATTGGAGGCTCTCTTTGCAATGAAACATAATGATAAGCCATCTTTAATACCTTTTACTGTCATGTTCCCCAATCCTCTTCTCCTTTACCTCCAACTTCATTCACCTCCTCTCCTCTCGAACCACCCAGTCAATCAATCTAGATGAGATCCAGACAAGTGCTGGAGGAAAACAGTAAAATAAGTAATGCACATGAATGTTAAACGTAGTGGTATGACAGTTCTATGACTACTAACTTTACATAGTACATTAGATGTCATGTAAGACAAATGGCGCAAATAGCAACCTTTTTCATATCAAGATACAGTATATTATTGATTTCTATTAATTTCAATGAATGTCTACAATTTTTGAAACATTAGGAAAAACATACATGGGCAGAGACTAAGAATGGTCTCTTGCTTTCTCAAATGTCTCTGATTTTGAGACTTTCATTGAAATCAAATGGCTGAACGGAGGTAGCTCTCTGTGACGTTTATGTATTGGTGTGCAGTGTTCTTCTCTGTACCTAATCAATTACACAGGGCTGTAGTCTAGCCATTGTGGACAGACAGACTTGCTTGGTGGGGCCACTTGTTTACTTACTTATCAGCTCTGCATTGTATTTTAATTTCATTTCAGTCACCCTCATCTTTCTTTTCATCATGTCTATTCCAGGAGTTTCCAGAGAACCCAACCAGCCCTGGTGTCACGCCTAATCATGCCCCCAGGTAGCAAACCCCATTGATAATAGATCCTCCCTCCCATACTGTCCTTCTTTTACAGACATTCTGGGAAGCATTTCATACTTCATTTCCATTCTGGTCAATGAGATGTTGGTTCACCTAAAGCTGGTTTGGTGGGTGATTTTGTAGAGATGTTGCTTCACCTAAAGCTGGTTTGGTGGGAGATTTTGTAGAGATGTTTGTTTACCTAAAGCTGGTTTGGTGGGTGATTTTGTAGAGATGTTGCTTCACCTAAAGCTGGTTTGGTGGGTGATTTTGTAGAGATGTTGCTTCACCTAAAGCTGGTTTGGTGGGTGATTTTGTAGAGATGTTGGTTCACCTAAAGCTGGTTTGGTGGGTGATTTTGTAGAGATGTAAAACATACTAGTAGTGATCATTTTATACATTTGTTTTTCCAACATTGCGTTAGGTCAATCTTCCTAAATCCAATATAATGTATTTTCTGTAGAGACCATTCTGAAATTCTCAATGCCGTAAAATAGGTTTGCTGTGTGGATAATTCATTCCGAGATTATTATCGGTTTATTATAAAGACTGAGTTGGTTGGATTCTCCATCTGTTAAGACAATTTGGGACTCGGCTATAAGAAAATTAGCTTATTTCTTATTGTTTTCACTGAATAATGAAGATGCTTTCCTTCCCTTAGGATAAAATGCAGTTTCCTGAGAGAAATATAAATGTGTGTATATATATATACATAATTTGTTGTAGATGGTACAACAAAAGCTGATCCGCAGGGGATCATCTACAAATTGCTTCCCTGCAGCACCAAGGTCATTTAAGGGGACCATTTTACTGGAACCTGTGTCCAATAACATCACTAGATGCATTCCTTTGTGATGCTATCACAGGTCTGCATGCAATGCAGTTTGCACCAAATGAAATGGTTCTTTGTCTGCTGGAATAGCTATCTACATCTACAGTATGGCTAATGCTTCTTTTGAACCCAAATATCAGCAACATATTAACTGAAACAATCACAGTTGCACTAAACGTATGCAGACATAATGTGAATGTCGATGAACATGTAGGAATCAAGATACTAATATCGAGACAAGGACTAAAAAACTGTTTTCTTTTCTCTTTCCCTTCTTCATCCATACCATACCCCTCTTATCTTTCTTCTCTCTACCCATACCCTGAAACATAACTGACCTACTGTAAATGTCCCCTGCACTACCAATTTAATGTTCACCCATTTGTATTTCATTATTTTGTCAATGTGTGCACTATACTTTCAACACTCTTTCCTCCTGTCTGATGTATAAATGATGGTTAACGTCATGCTATCTACATTGTTTTTGTGTTCTGTTTCCACTTGGTTCTGGTTATATTAAATACTCATTAATTTATTGTCCCACTTATTTCCTATTTATGTCACATCCCCTCCTATTTTTACTGTGTGCCTCTCGATCTACTCCTCCCTCCCTCATCACCCCTCCCTTAATACGGTTGAACTCCTCTTCCCTTCCTCCCTTCCCTTGTCTTACAGAGCACCTGTGACACCCTCCGGAGTCACTCGGACAGTCTCGGATTCACGCCGAACATGTTACCTCGTCACCCGACTCTAGGCAACTTTGAGGAGTTTGCTTGTTGACGACATAAAGCAGGGTGGGGGGGTACGTGGGGTCTTTGGGGTTTGACAGCAAACTGTGAAATAACTTATGTATTATTACAAACATGGCTAGTGTAGAGTAGTAGGATCTAGCAATTGCCTGAATAGAAATAGAACACTATGATAAGAATAAAACCATTTCCAAAGCAGAACTCAGGTGACGAACATATCAAGGCGTCGACGACACTATTTATTTGATGTTCCATTCATGTTGCATTCTATTAAACAGGGTGACATTAGTGTGTTTGAATTGGTTTTAATCAGCCTAGTAATGTATAAGACTAATAATGTAAATGGAAAGGAATTCAGAGTGGTCTCAGTTCATGTCAACTTACGTATACCATAATATACTAAACAAAAATATAAACGCAACATGCAACAATTTCAAAGATTTTCCAAAGTTACAGTTCATATAAGGAAATCAGTCAATTGAAATCAATGTATTAGGCCCTCATCTATGTATTTCACATGACTGGGAATACAGATATGCATCTGATGGTCACAGATACCTTTAAAAAAAAAGGTATGGGCATGGATTAGGAACCAGTCAGTATCTGGTGTGACCACCATTTGCCTCATGCAGCGCGACACATCTATTTCGCATAGATTGATCAGGCTGTTGATTGTGGCTTGTGGAATGTTGTCCCACTCCTCTTTAATGGCTGTGTGAAGTTACTGGATATTGGCGGAAACTGGAACGTGCTGTTATACACGTAAATCCAGAGCATCCCAAACATACTCAATGGGTAACATGTCTGGTGAGTATACAGGCCATGGATGAACTCTGACATTTTCAGCTTCCAGGAACTGTGTACAGATCCTTGTGACATGGGGCCGTGCATTATCATGCTAAAACATGAGGTGATGGCGGCGGATGAGTGGCATACCATAACCCCACCGCCACCACAGGGCACTCTGTTGACAACGTTGACATCAGAAAACCACTCGCCCACACGACGCCATACACGTGGTCTGCGGTTGTGAGGCCGGTAGGACGTACAGCCAAATTCTCTAAAACGACGTTGGAGGCGGCTTATTGTAGAGAAATTAACATTCAATTCTCTGGCAACAGCTCTGGTTAACAATCCTGCAGTCAGCATGCCAATTGCACGCTCCCTCAAAACTTGAGACATCTGTGGCATTGTGTTGTGTGACAAAACTGCACATTTTAGAGTGGCCTTTTATTATCCCCAGCAGAACGTGCACCTGTGTAAGGATCATGCTGTTTAATCAGCTTCTTGATATGCCACACCTGTCAGGGGGATAGATTATCTTGGCAAAAGAGAAATGCTCACTAACAGGGATGTAAACAAATTTGTGCACATATTTGAGAGAAGTAAGCTTTTTGTGTGTATGGAACATTTCTGGGATCTTTTATTTCAGCTCATGAAACATGGGACCAACACTTTACATGTTGCATTTATATTTTTGTTCAGTGTAGCAGTCAGTTCTGGTGAGCTGAATATAAAATTGAGAGGCTAGCCATGGTTAGCATGTGTAGCATCAGCATAGCCAGGTCCATTCATAAGTAGAATCAAGAGGAGTTTTCATTTTTAACTAATTGAGAGTAAGTGAATGCAGATTTCAGTGATGCCCACTCAACTATGATCACAATGCTCAAAGGAGAACAGCAGACCTAACTTGAACCCCCCAGTAATAGACAGCTGACAGTAATTGTGTTGCCTTTGTACTCAAATGATTCTGTTCTGAGATTGATCCTATCACTGATTTGAAACTATAAGCCACCAAGTAATGAAAGCCTCTTGCGTTAGGTCCCAGGAAGAGAAACTATTGCAAGATTATTGAATGCAATTCTTTGTTTACAAGTTACATATTGGAAAGTGGAAAACAAGTGTTTATGTTTGCACATATGAACAATTACAACTTTTCAATAAGATTAGGGGAAAATAGGAACATTTCCCATTTTTATATATAGTGCTCCACAAGTTTTCTATCTGTTTACTGCTGAAAAAATGTACATCAATGACAACATCTTATTCAGTCGTGGTTCCCCATTTGGGGGGATAGAGTTATTGTACTGACCGTACTGTCACTAGAAAAGGACACCATTCACAGAGTCTGCTGTAACTCCGCCCCCCTCTTATTCACCACTTTCATTAGAATAGACAAATAAGCAAGACGATCCACCCATACTTAAAGTTAGTGTATGTGGGTGTTGTTCAAATGGTTTTGTTCCATGTCCATGGCTTTTAACTGCTACAAAAACACTCATTAGTACAAGTCCCCTGTGATAGTAATCTATCTCTATTGGGAACTAGTGGAGTACTAACATTTTCAAGGTGGTGTTCTAAATATTGACTGAAATGTGTAAATACCAGATCAAAATGCCGTTAAGAAATTCAATCTCGCTCATGTGTTGATATGTTTATAGTATGTAAAAAAAAAAATAATGTATATCCATTACTGCTGTTGCGCCATAAAGGAATTGGAGGACATTAAGAATTGTCCATTAATTTGTGTTGATATCCAAGTGGACCTCAAGTGTCTTCCAGTTTCCATTTAATTGTAGGACCGGACACAAAATTGAATTTGTTAGATGCCAGAGACAGTTTTTTGCAGTGCTTCAAAAACATAAATGTCCCAGGTTCCCTATTTTTTTCAGTTCAGTTGGTTTAAAACACTGAAATGCACTAATATGTATAATTGCATTATTATATACTATTGTTATTGGAATTCCAGTACATGTAATAAGACTCAAATAACAGTCAGTTTGTGATGTGTAAATTATCAAGTATAATAAACTATATATTTAACCATCTTCCTATGTACATACCTTTCTTTTGTAAATCTTGTGTGTCTAATTTCTCTCATGCTACAGTTCATGTTGATCATTGCATTAATTAATTAACAACATAGTTATTTATCTATGCTACATTAGTTCTAGTCATGTTAAACTTTGTTATGTGGTCATTTTAGAGAAAAGAAACTAGAACACTTCAAAGGGACATTCAAAGGGACATCTGTAGCTTTACTCTTTTGCCTATAGAAAATAGAATGACTCATTCTAGAAGTTATATTTCTATGCTTTTGTCTGTTTAATAGATGACTGTTGATGAGAAGCACAAAGACCTTGAGATCAGCCTTGGTTCCTGAGCCAATTACCTCCATCTCTGATCAAGACTGGCTACCTTATTGGCACTTCTTATATCCAACTATGTACTGTATCCTGGGATAAGCCTTGTCTTGGGTGAGACTAGAACCAAACCAAATATCACTCAGTAAGGGTCTCATTTTTGAAGTTGTAAACTTTAAGATATGGTTAAGCAGTGTTTTGTTATGAGCAATATATGCATTGGCCCGAAAATAATATAATTGTCAAATTAATGCTATTAACACTGTTTATTTTCAAGTCTGGTCACACAGCTCCCCTACTAACAGAATTTGTGGATTTGTCATAAAGGAATGAATGGTCAAATCTCTGTTGTACTGGGTTACCACAACTGATGATGTGACATTGTCTTGGTGTTAACTGTGTGTCCCATTGTGGTCTGGTCTTTCATGACAATGTGGAGGTTAGTCATAAAACTTACCGCCAAGGGTTTATCACCTGTCCTTCCTAAAAAAGAAAACACTGTAAATACTTAACATAAATCAGAATACATTGCAACTATTTGCTTATCCTTTGTAGCATCAATCTAATCTACATTAAATTAATTATAAATCAGATTGAAAGTAAAACAGGTGGTAAATTTAAAGGTTTAAAGTTTTATGAATACTTTGTACTGCGTGCCGTACTGTGTCACATAGTAGAATCCTTATCCACCCCTGCCTTACTGCCAATCAAAATTAGCACAGCAGAAGCAACACATTAGTCAGTAGTCTAAAGCGGAATATGGATATGGTCCTGTCATATTTGAATAATACCGCAATACTGGTTGTGCTTATTGATTCAAGTCTTTTAATGGGTATTTTATAGCATAATTAATTACAGCCAAGTACATGAGTGTTATATATTTATGTCAACCAATAGTCTAAAGACCTTCATTCTTGCAGCTTAATTATGTGTATTGTTCTTGCACCTCACCTGTTTTCCTCCTTGCATGACCATTGTGTACTCCCCCTTGAGTATAATCAGCCACCATGTTACTTTATCACTTTGTTGGGAGCCAGATGGTTAATATCCATGTTCTGTGGTAGGGTACTGTTCAATCTTTAGCATGAAAAAAATCCTCATGAAAAACTAAGCTTTGGGTTGTGCAATATTCAGTGAACATAAATTATTGAACATGGGCCTGAGAAGCTTGGATATGTTTTCTGACAAAAAAAATTGCGGGTCAAATTATTGTATGTACAGTATGTGGCCACTGGCTTGTAAGGAATATTATATTTCTGTAAGACTGGATCTTAGAGTATCGATTATAGTATGTCTGTTGGAGGCTTACACAGCTGTGGAACTGAACTAGGTTCATCTGGCTCTATGTACTGTATGTATATGATACCTCCATTTGTGATTGACCTTAAATATCAATTAAATAATAACATTCTCAATCTTACGTCAAACATCATGTGCATAATTATCTGGAAATGTAATTAGTATTGTTTGGTCTTCTATGCATTGTGATTCATGTAAACATACAGTGGGGGAAAAAAGTATTTAGTCAGCCACCAATTGTGCAAGTTCTCCCACTTAAAAAGATGAGAGAGGCCTGTCATTTTCATCATAGGTACACGTCAACTATGACAGACAAATTGTGGAAAAAAAATCCAGAAAATCACATTGTAGGATTTTTAATGAATTTATTTGCAAATTAGGGTGGAAAATAAGTATTTGGTCACCTACAAACAAGCAAGATTTCTGGCTCTCACAGACCTGTAACTTCTTCTTTAAGAGGCTCCTCTGTCCTCCACTCGTTACCTGTATTAATGGCACCTGTTTGAACTTGTTATCAGTATAAAAGACACCTGTCCACAACCTCAAACAGTCACACTCCAAACTCCACTATGGCCAAGACCAAAGAGCTGTCAAAGGACACCAGAAACAAAATTGTAGACCTGCACCAGGCTGGGAAGACTGAATCTGCAATAGGTAAGCAGCTTGGGTTGAAGAAATCAACTGTGGGAGCAATTATTAGGAAATGGAAGACATACAAGACCACTGATAATCTCCCTCGATCTGGGGCTCCACGCAAGATCTCACCCCGTGGGGTCAAAATGATCACAAGAACGGTGAGCAAAAATCCCAGAACCACACGGTGGGACCTAGTGAATGACCTGCAGAGAGCTGGGACCAAAGTAACAAAGCCTACCATCAGTAACACACTACGCCGCCAGGGACTCAAATCCTGCAGTGAAAGACATGTCCCCCTGCTTAAGCCAGTACATGTCCAGGCCCGTCTGAAGTTTGCTAGAGTGCATTTGGATGATCCAGAAGAGGATTGGGAGAATGTCATATGGTCAGATGAAACCAAAATATAACTTTTTGGTAAAAACTCAACTTGTCGTGTTTGGAGGACAAAGAATGCTGAGTTGCATCCAAAGAACACCATACTTACTGTGAAGCATGGGGGTGGAAACATCATGCTTTGGGGCTGTTTTTCTGCAAAGGGACCAGGACGACTGATCCGTGTAAAGGAAAGAATGAATGGGGCCATGTATCGTGAGATTTTGAGTGAAAACCTCCTTCCATCAGCAAGGGCATTGAAGATGAAACGTGGCTGGGTCTTTCAGCATGACAATGATCCCAAACACACCACCCGGGCAACGAAGGAGTGGCTTCGTAATAAGCATTTCAAGGTCCTGGAGTGGCCTAGCCAGTCTCCAGATCTCAACCCCATAGAAAATATTTGGAGGGAGTTGAAAGTCCGTGTTGCCCAGCGACAGCCCCAAAACATCACTGCTCTAGAGTAGATCTGCATGGAGGAATGGGCCAAAATACCAGCAACAGTGTGTGAAAACCTTGTGAAGACTTACAGAAAACGTTTGACCTGTGTCATTGCCAACAAAGGGTATATAACAAAGTATTGAGAAACTTTTGTTATTGACCAAATACTTATTTTCCACCATAATTTGCAAATAAATTCATAAAAAATCCTACAATGTGATTTTCTGGATTTGTTTTTCTCATTTTGTCTGTCATAGTTGACGTGTACCTATGATGAAAATTACAGGCCTCTCTCATCTTTTTAAGTGGGAGAACTTGCACAATTGGTGGCTGACTAAATACATTTTTTCCCCACTGTATGTAGATCAGGTAACACCATCTTTATCTACCCCTATACAACACATGATAATATGACATATCACTCCATGATATGGCTTCCTTCAACTATTTGAACCGTTTGTGTAACTGCGGTATTCTATTTGGCAATATAATATTTGGTGCTAAAAGTTACTTTAAAATCCTGGGTCATGGACCATGGAAACAACTTAACAGAAACTCACTCACACCGGCTGGTGCATAGGGTGGAAAGTTGGAACAAAGGCTCTCCATTTCTGCCGGTCTTTGGCCATCTTCTCCACCGTGCCCCAGCTCTGATATTGACGGAGCTCAGTCTCGATTTAACAGAAAATAATGGGGAAATTGTCAATTATTTTCCAACAACAAAAGCAGAACAAAAAACATATTTTGAGTCCACTTTATTGAATCATTGTGTTTTAAAATGTACACAAAAGACCACTGACTGACAGCAATTGTCTAAATACTTGACCCAAGTTCTACAATAAAACAATGATAATAGGAAAGTCCACTCTTCATTCAAAATAAAGATGAGTCATATTTAAACTAATAATCTACAGCAGTCTTGTCTAAAACATAAGCACTGGAATTGCATGTCTTTACAGATGTAGGATCTTAATTTGATCACCCTACAAACTTGTAGTGTATTCGAGGTTTAAAAGGGCTTCTAAAGTTTGTAATTTTCACTTTAAAATGTCAGACCTGATTTGCCCCATCTAAAAATGTATCAACCCCTACAAAAATGTCCATTAATTATAATCCACACAATAATTCACATTTCCTGCCGTGAGAAACTGGTCAAATTAAGATCCAACATATGTGCATGTGATAATGGAATCTTATCTGAACTCCGATGCAAACGTCAATGCATACTATAAAGAGCCGTACAAATGCCATGGATCTAATTTTCACAAATGCCATTATTTTAATAAGGAGAGCATATACAACTCCTGAAAGTAATTTGTTTTGTAGAAAAAAGGACTAAATACACACATAAGCAGACATTCAATTATCAATAAATACATGCATTCTATGTTTGTCATCTTACATCATCAAAATGATAATACATATTTTCCTAATCGATGAAAACCAAATGTTTTGGTAGTTGACAGCAACCTCAAAGATGACTTATAATTGTGGCTTTCGTGGGATAAGTAGCAACTATCTGGTGTAAAATAACACTGGAAAAACCTGCTAGTTCCTTGCCAAAATTAAGTTACCCATCTGAATGACACAGTCAAAGTCAGAGTGGTGCAAAACAATCGTAATGTAGTAATACAGGTATCAGTGGATTTCCTCCTCTTCACTTTCACTAAGCTATAAGACATTAGGTCAATGACAAAAGATGGTAGAAAGTTACAAAAATGAAACTATAAAATAAAAGCAATGACTCAAGTTCGTATGGTCCACTGTTCATAATAAATATCGGTTGGCCCAAGCTTCGACAGTACCGACTTTCAGTGTTCAACTTTACTTGATAGAGCGGATCAGATTTAAAACTACTAAAAAAGCAACTGACATTTACAAAGTGCGAAAAAAAACTAACACAAAAAGCCAAATGGTGAGCCTGAGAAGTAACTGATAAATATACCTCCCCCTCCATTTTACCATCTCCTATTAAAGTAAGTGGAAATGTGTTATGACTATGATGAAGGACAAGGAGGATATGCAAGTCTGTCTCCAATCTTATTATGACCTATTAATGAAATATTGACAAGTTAACAGCAGTAGCACATTAAAACTATTTGAACAATGTTTCCAAATAACTACTTTTTTGCCAGTACATTAAGCAGCACGCTACTTCAATTGTTCAAACCGCTTACTCTGCTGTGCAGCTATTGGCTCAGAAGGATTCACTGGTTCTCTGGGTCCAGATTTGTTCATCGCTACATGTTATGTTTCCATATCAGTGCGCTTCACAGACAAAGAGCAGACAGACAGGCTTGCTAACATAATCTAAAATATTGCAGAGCCCACAAGGACTTGATTCCATTAGGAGGCACAACAGGATGTACTGAAGGGAAGTGTCTTAGTTAAAACAGGTGCTGCTGGAGGATGAGCCTTATTAGGAGTCGGGATAGACAGGTCCTGTTGAGAAGATGGGAGTGAAAGAGAATTGATTCCGATGGCAGAGGTTCAGTTGAGTGACGTGTTTTGGCACCTCATCTAAGGTGGGCAAAAATCAGCAAAGTAAGGGTGCTGCAATGCCTCCTCTGCAGAGATCCTCTGGACAGGATTACACTTCAACAGATTCTAAAAAAGAAAAAGAAAAAAGAATGCAAGTCAGATGTGTGTTTGTATGGCAACATTTCTCAATTATTCAAGCGACATTTGGGAAAAGCTTTGCACTGACTCCACCTAGTGACAACTTGATATTCCTGTCTAAGCTGTATGCCAGGTACACACTACACACAACTAGTTTTGTTGTAACTCCACAGTGTGGGTTTGCACATATATACCACCAGTCAAAAGTTTGGACACACCTACTCATTCAAGGGTTTTTCTTTATTTTTACATTGTAGAATAATAGTGAAGACATAAACTATGAAATAACACATATGGAATCATGTAGTAAACAAAAAAGTGTTAAACAAATCTAAATATATTTTATATTTGAGATTCATCAAATAGCCACCCTTTGCCTTGATGACAGCTTTGCACACTCTCGGCATACTGATTCATATATTGGTCATGTGGGGGGCAATACTAACCTGCAGCAGATCCCGTCCTGTGCTACTGAGTTTGGGGACAACATTCACCAGTGAGGTCGTGGCTGGATACATGGGGTACGGCTGTAGGTAAAAACGACAGAGAAAACGGATGTACAGTAAACAGACAGCAGCGCAGAAAATATTTGTTCAATCTCTTATAGATTAATCTGTAATCTGGAAACGTCAATTACTCTCATACCTTGCAAATCATATATTCTTATTTTCCTGAAGGCAGTAGAAAACATGAGTTTCTGTATGATCAACAGTAATTGACATCATCAGTGGGATAGCCTACCTTGTAGTCTGGGAGCTTTGTCATTGTCTGCCACTGTTCTTCCGTTGGTGTACCCAACAATGTGCCACAGCATTAAGGAAAGACTTTCACCAGTAAATAGGACTGATCAAGTTTAGTCACTGCAATAGATTCATCTCAACAAAGTGGACCAACTTTAGTTACAGTGCCTTTGTTTCTACATACCACACAACACAGACAGTATACCGAACCTGGTTACCTATCTAAACACCTCTGAAAGGATATCGGAAGATCCTCTTCAGCTGGTCGTCAACGTCATTACCCGGGAACAGGGGCCTTCCAGCATTTGCCAACTCTAAATGAAAAAAGCAAAAGTTATAGAAGATCAACAAAAGGTAGAGGCCCTAACTTATTTGAGCAGTATAACACAGGTAAGTAGTGTACAATCATCCCCTTGAACTTGCTGTGCAATTTTGACCTTAAGGTTACACATACCTGCAAATATGCATCCAGCAGACCACATGTCAATGGAGGTAGAATAAAGCTTAGCACCGAAGAGCACATCTGGGGGCCTATACCACAACGTCACAACCTACAGAGAGAGAGAGAAGCTTTAGTGTCACCAGTAATTTAGGCACTAATTTTCTTTGGTCGTATCCAAATTAACACAATAATTGTCATCATATCATATAATGATTCTCTCACCTCTGCTGAGTAACATCTCACTGGGATTCCAAAGGCTCGAGCCAAGCCAAAGTCAGCCAGCTTCAATTCCCCATTCTAAAAGGAGCAAATCATACCACATTGTAGGCTATGTAAAGGTACATTATTTTCTCACTAACTAAGCAAGATAATTTCTGTTTCAGTTAAGCTACATACAGCACAGTGTGTCCTCTAACTTTCTAGAACTAGAACTTAACCAGTCAAAGCCCAACATTCCACTGACTTACCCTGTTGATAAGGAGGTTCTGTGGCTTCAGGTCTCTGTGGAGAACATTCCGACTGTGGCAGAAGGCAAGCCCCTTCAACAGCTGGTACATGAACGACTGCACATACAGAAAGTAGGGGAAGACTGAGTTAAGCACAGAGATATAGAAAGACAATAAGGCAGTAATACTTCATTCTCACTATCAATGTGGTACTCTTTGGTGGTACTCTTTGAAGTTATACGATAATTTGTGTGACACAGTGGAGGCTCCTCAGAGGAGGAAGGGGAGGACCATCCTCCTCAGTTAATTTCATAAAAATGTTTAAACATTTAAAAAGTTATCCTTTTTAGATAAATCTATACTAAATATAATCACGTCACCAAATAATTGATTAAAACACACTATTTTGCAAAGAAGGTCTACAGTAGCCTCAACAGCACTGTAGGGTAGCACCATGGTGTAGCCGGAGGACAGCTAGCTTCCATCCTCCTCTGGGTACATTGACTTCAATACAAAACCTAGGAGGCTCATGGTTCTCACCCCCTTCCATAGACTTACACAGTAAGTATGACAACTTCCGGAGGACATCCTCCAGCCTATCAGAGCTCTTGCAGCATGAACTGACATGTTTTCCACCCAATCAGAGGATCAGATAATTAATCTAGTACTGAAAGCATAAGATACAGCTAGCTAGCACTGCAGTGTATAAAAATGTGGTGAGTAGTTGACTCAAAGAGAGAGAAAGACAATAGTTAAACAGTTGTAAATTAATTTCTTTCAAAATGAAGGAGAAGCAAAAGAGAGAGAGATTGTCTTTTTTTCTCACTTTCAGTTTCACTTACTTAGCTAGCAAATACAGCTAGCTAGTTTAGCCTACTGAAACACCCTGGGATGCTATGTTAGCTAGCTGGCTATGACTTTCCAACACAACACTGGAACTCTTCCAAGTCAAGGAAAGCTTTTGGTTTTACTAATTTATTGCCACCGGGGCCCGCTGGTGTAATTGCTTACTGACTGTAAACTGTAACATTACTGTATGATTGTAGCAGGTGTACTAACGTGTTAGTTCTATTAGCCATGTTGACTCTGACGTTACTTTAGCTAATATGGTGCCAACGATGTAGGCTGTGTGTTGTGGTTTGGCCTGGAAAGATTGTTTGCCTGGTCAGATACAGCTGATGTGTTGTGCATTGAAGTCCACAAATGAAGGGAAGAGGTGAGAGGAGGAGAGCACATAGATGCGAGAAGGAATACAACGTGGATGCTATGAAAGTGAACTGTGTTTACGCGTGATCAGGGGTGTATTAATTCCGCCGATTCTGTTGAAAAACGTTTCTTAAATGGAAGCAAATGGAACAAAACGGGGATTAATATACCTGAATTTGTCCAATAGAAACTCTTGTTTGCAACCGTTGGACTAATGATTACACCCTATATCAGCTAGATGCAGGCAAGAGTGTGCAAGGTGGTATTGAATGTCACTGTCTGTCACCTCAAATGTGTCTCTCGACCTGTGTGCACCTACACTGGAAACTTTCATTCATAGGCTAGGTAATAAATGCACTGTTGGTTAAGGGCTGTAAGTAAGCATTTCACTGTAATGTCTGCACCTGTTGTATTCGGCGCATGTGACCAATAAAATTTGATTTGATTTGATTTGATTAGGTTGTAGCAACCTCTAAATGGTTATAGGGAAAATTCTAGTATCATGTAGTAGCCTAAACCTATCGCTGTTACATTGAACTGGGTGAATGGAATATGAATGAGAGTCATCTAATATGCTGTTAAAGAAATAAGGCCATGCTCATGAGAAGAAAAAAAATGTCCTCCTTCATCTTAAACGACACTGACCACCACTGGTGTGACATGACATGCATTTGACTTAGTTACAGTCATGGGACATCATGGTGTGGTTACACAAACATGTTTCTCAGAGCTATATTCTGCACGTTATTTGAATCTCAATGACTCACCTTGACAGTTTCTGGATCTAGGTCTCCATTGCAGCTGTCAAAGTATTTCTTTAGATCCTGTGGTTGTAAGAGTCAAGTTAAATCACTGCACCCCAGCAAAAACAAATCCCACATCAAATCAAACAAGTGAATCACTGGGGAGAAAACCCTTATCTTGTGGGCACTTCTACTTTAAATTGGTAAATTGTCATAGCTATAGCAACAACAAACTCCTCTTCATACAATAATGGCATTTGCATACATCTGGCAGAACTCACCTGATCACAAAATTCAAACACCAATGTTAACTTCTTGTCACTGTGCAGAACATCATGCAATCTAAGAAAAGCAAAATGAAATGTCAATTAAACTCTTTGCATAGCAACATATTCAATCTAATGCTATAAATTACACTATTGAAAAGTAATATACTAGCCACTTAAGTACTGAGTCAGGCAGATGTCCAACTATTTATGCATTTTCAGAATTTGACAAATTTCACATCAGACATACCTCACAATGTTTTTATGCTTCAGTTCTTTCAGGAGGCAAATTTCTCGCAGGGCAGAACTTGGGACCCCCTGCAAGAAACCAGCATATAGCAACCAAATTGAGCCATCTACAAATATGCCATAACGTTAGCAAACTAACCAGTTGGCTAGCTTTAGCAAGCTAGCTGTAGGGTAGCTATATTTGTAGTCTCAATAATTCCTACCTCATCGTCGTCATCCAATCTCACTCTTTTTAAAGCCACGATTTCATGCGTTTCTCTATTTTTTGCTTTGAAAACAGTTCCATATGTACCTGCAGAAAGAAATCACAACGTTTACTAGATAGCTTGACTGAATGGGTTGTGTTAGTTAGCAATGTACTATGTAGCTAAGCAAGCTAGCTAACTTGCCCAGGACTGGAATAATGAAAAGTTAGCTAGCTCACGTTAACTAGCTAACTAACTTTAATTAAATGAACTACCTAAATATTGTCATTGTGGCTTAATCTTGCTGATAGCTAGTAAAAATATTATCAAAAGTGTGTGTAACATACCAATGTCAATGACTTGTCATTCAAAATCGCTAGCTGGCTAACGTTAGCGATCTAGCAATGCTAACAGAAAACAACATCAGCTAACGTTAGAGATTCTCTGGGAAAGAAACAGGCACACTTACCCTCTCCAATCTTCTCAAGCTTTTCATACTTCTGCATATTATGTCAATAAAGCTAGCCTTTAGCTAGCTAACAGCAGTTAAATGCAGCCCCAGGGTTTGGGGATATTTTGATAACTAACGTTAGCTAGCCAGCTGTTGTTCACAGCTACAATGCTGCTGCTACACCGGCATCTAAAGCGGTCAAATGATGAACTGCAACATGCGGGTGAATCGCCACCCACTCCCTCTGTCAAACATAATAATGAACCTGTTATCACTGTCAATCTTAGAAATATTTACAAAAAAATAACAATATTCTCCAATTAGTTTCAATGTTACCTTCTAAAGAAATCCTCAGTCAGAGGTCCAATTAGACAGCCTGTAGGCATACAATCTGGTTACATATGTTAATGGTTTCGCTAGAACCACCAACTTCGCACAGTATAATCTATTTTAGACAATGATTATTACACACACACACACGCAATTCAATTCAAAGGGCTTTATTGGCATGGGAAACATGTTTACATTGCCAAAGCAAGTGAAATAGATAATCAACAAAAGTGAAATAAACAATCAAAAATGAAGAGTAAACACTACACTCACAAGTTTCAAAGGAATAGACACATTTCAAATGTCATATTGTGGCTATGTACAGTTTTAAAATGATGTGCAAATAGTTAAAGTACAAAGGGGAAAATAAATAAACATAAATATGGGTTATATTTACAATGGTGTTTGTTCTCCACTGGTTAGCTTTTTTCTTGTGGCAACAGGTCACAAATATTGCTGCTGTGATGGCACAGTGTGGTATTTCACCCACTAGATATGGGAGTTTATCAAAATTGGATTTGTTTTGGAATTCTTTGTGGGTCTGTGTAATCTGAGGGAAATATGTGTCTCTAATATGGTCATACATTTGGCAGGAGGTTAGGAAGTGCAGCTCAGTTTCTACCTCATGTTGTGTGCACATAGCTTGTTTTCATCAACACCACAGGCCTTTTTGGGTTGGAGGGTTTGTATTTTGTCCTGTAGTTCATTCAATGTAATTGGAGAATACAGTGGGTTCTGGTAGTCTTTAATAGCTGATTCTAAGATTCGTAATTGATCATGTATATGTTTTTGCTGTTTGTTCTTTGTTATAGAGCCTAAAAGATTGGAGAAGTGGATTATCCATACATCTACATTTTTGGTAGAAAACTCTTCGTGTTGTTATTTGTTTAGTGTGTTCCAATTTTCCCAGAAGTGGTTAGATTCTATGGATTCTTCATAATTGATTGAGCTGATTTCTGACGTGCTGTTCCTTCTTTCTCCGTAGTGTATTTACACCTTCACTATTACAGTGAAATGTTATGTCCAGGAAGTTGTCTAAAAGGTATTGAATTTGTTGGTGCCTAATATGTTTTTGGTAGGTTTTTATCCTACATTCCTTCCATCTATAGCATTTCTTAATATTGTGCAGTTCCTTTGGCTTTGACGCCTCATGATTGAGTATTGCTCTGTTCAAGTAGACTGTGATTTTGCTGTGATCTGATAAGGGTGTTAGTGGACTGACTGTGAACGCTCTGAGAGACTCTGGGTTTAGGTCAGTGATAAAGTAATCTACAGTACTACTGCCAAGGGATGAGCTGTAGGTGTACCTACCATAGGAGTCTCCTCGAAGCCTACCATTGACTATGTACAGACCCAGCGTGCGACAGAGCTGCAGGAGTTTTGACACGTTATTGTTGGTTGTATTGTCATTGTTGTGTCTAGGGGGGAATATTTGGGAGGGAATACTGTCACCTCCAGGTAGGCGTTTGTCCCCCTGTGTGCTGAGAGTGTCAGGGTCTTGTCCAGTTCTGGCATTTAAGTTGCCACAGACTAGTACATGTCCCTGGGCCTGGAAATGGTTGATCTCCCCCTCTAAGATGGAGAAGCTGTCATAATTAAAGTATGGGGATTCTATTGGGGGGATATACAATGCATTCGGAAAGTATTCAGACCCCTTCACTTTTTCGACATTTTGTTACGTTACAGCCTTATTTTAAAAAAATGTATAATCCTCATCAAACTACACACAATACCCCATTATGATGAAGTGAAACCATATTTTTAGAAATGTTTGCAAATGTATAGAAAACAACTGAAATATCACATTTACATAAGTATTCAGACCCTTTGCTATGAGACTCGAAATGGAGCTCAGGTGCATCCTGTTTCCATTGATCATCCTTGAGATGTTTCTACATCTTAATTGGAGTACACCTGTGGTAAATTCAATTGATTGGATATGATTTGGAAAGGCACACATCTGTCTATATAAGGTCCCACAGTTCACAGTGCATGTCACAGCAAAAACCAAGCCATGAGGTCGAAGGAATTGTCCGTAGAGCTCCGAGACAGGATTGTGTCGAGGCACAGATCTGGGGAAGGGTACCAAAAAATGTCTGCAGCATTGAAGGACCCCAAGAACACAGTGGCCTCCATCATTCTTAAATGGAAGAAGTTTGGAGCCACCAAGACTCTTCCTAGAACTGGTCGCCCAGCCAAACTGAGCAATCGGGGGAGAAGAGCTTTGGTCAGTGAGGTGACCAAAAACCTGATGGTCACTCTGACAGAGCTCCAGTTCCTCTGTGGAGATGGGAGAACCTTCCAGAAGGACAACCATCTCTGCAGTACTCCATCAATCAGACCTTTATCGTAGAGTGGCCTGACGGAAGCCACTCCTCAGTAAAAGGCACATGACAGCCCGCTTGGAGTTTGCCAAAAGGCACCTAAAGGACTCTCAGACCATGAGAAACAAGATTCTCTGGTCTGATGAAACCAAGATTGAACTATTTGGCCTGAATGCCAATCGTCACATCTGGAGGAAACCTGGCACCATCCCTACGATGAAGCATGGTGGTGGTAGCATCATGCTGTGGTGATGTTTTTCAGCAACAGGGACTGGGAGACTAGGCAGGATCGAGGGAAAGATGAACGGAGCAAAGTACAGAGAGATCCTTGGTGAAAACCTGCTCCAGAGCGCTCAGGACCTCAGACTGGGATGAAGGTTCACCTTCCAACAGGACAACGACCCTAAGCACACAGCCAAGACAACGCAGGAGTGGCTTCGGGACAAGTCTCTGAATGTCCTTGAATGGCCCAGCGAGAGCCCGGACTTGAACCCAATCGAACATCTCTGGAGAGACCTGAAAATAGTTAAGGGATCTGAATACTTTCCAAATGCACTTTAGGTAGCACATGAGGACATTTTTCTCTGTTGAGATAATTTCCTTATTAATTTCTAGCCAGATGTAAAATGTTCCTGTTTTGAATAATTTAATAGAGTGGGTTAGGTCTGCTCTATACCAAATTAGTGTTTTCACTCTCTCTCTCATAGAAAACAGATGAGTGGATGAATAGAATTTAATGATTAAAAGTCTTGCAAAATGTACAGATACAGGACAGGGCCAAGTAACCCTGCTAAAATCACATTCACATCCTATACAGTTAGTATTCTCGTCCTATAAAACAACACATGATAAACACTTGCAATTTCAGCAGTCTTAGTTGGGCCACAATAAAATATAATCCAGTTGGTCCACCCATACATTTGGCTTGTATAAAATGGAATTTGACATTGGACCATTAAACTAAATCAACTTTACACCAACATAAAACAATTGATAATACACATGCATATTTTTCATTTCTCATGCAAAGGCTGTCCCTAGTTCATGATATAGGCCTACAGTTCTGTGCCATATCAAAGTAGTGTTCACTTCTCTCCCTCTGATCTCTGCCTGCGGATCAGGTCAGCATACAGCCCTCCTTTGCTCAGCAATTCCGTGTGAGTTCCAGCCTAGGAAGAGACAAGATACCTGTTAGACATACAACTATACAACCAAGCTTTCTAGTTGAAAATTGACATACATCATTACACGTGTAGTGATGCTCTTAAAAATACTTTGTGATTATTATTACTTAAATGACAAGAAAACATGATTTGGAGAAGTGTCCAATATCTGGACAAAACCACCAATGGGACAGAGGACAATAGACATCCCTCTCTTCCTTCAGTGCTTCAGCCGCTCCCTAACCTCTACGATGCGTCCGTTGCTCATGACACAGATGAGGTCTGCCCTCTGGATGGTGCTGAGTCTGTGGGCAATGATGAGCACAGTGCGTCCTGTGGTGGCCCGGTCCAGAGCCTCTTGCACCACCCGCTCTGACTCTGCGTCCAATGCACTGGTGGCCTCGTCCAGGACCAGGATGCTGGGGTTCTTGATCAGGGCGCGGGCAATGGCAATACGCTGCTTCTGGCCCCCTGACATAGTCACTCCTCGCTCACCTGTGTGTCCGCAGAGGTACAATATTCAGTAAAAGCACTTATTGTAACTGCACTTAGTACTACTTATGTAAAAAGTATATGCATATGATTTGAATATGTGTGTCTGGGGTTTATTAGAGTGGTATAGACTAGTAATAAATCAGAGGATGTTAGAACTGGGCCATTCAAAAAAACATATACATTTTTTTCTCAAATATGTGTTGTCACTTACCAACCACAGTGTTGTATCCATCTGGAAAGCCTGTGATGAAGCGGTGGGCGTTGGCCTGCTTGGCAGCGTTGATGACCTCAGCATCAGTGGCCTCCGGCTTCCCAAAGCGAATGTTCTCCATCACAGAGGAGCCAAACAGCACAGGCTCCTGCAAGCAGGGGTGGAACATTGTTACATTGTTAATAACAAAGTAACATTGTTATCACTGTTATTATGGCAAAAATCACACAAGAAGGCCATTTCCTACTGAGGACAATAACCAAATCTGCAGCAGTTCTGAAAAAAGATCCTAGAACATCCTTATGCACTAGAAAACAGAATATAACTCAGTTGTGTAGAGTGATTATTCTAGAACATTTACCTGATTGATAAATCCAATGACTTGTCCTCTCAGCCAGGATGGGTCCAGTGTCCGGATATCCAGGCCGTCCAACATGATCACACCACTGCTGGGGTCATAGAAACGCTCCAGCAAGGAGGCCACTGTGGACTTTCCTGCAGTGTAGGAGAACAATAAATGATCACATCATTTTCATAAACATTGCATGATGTTGCACATAATTATACTATTTTCAGATTAATGGTTCTACAATATCATTATTGGCCCTTTGTTTATGTAATCAGACTAATTGAGTGCTTGTATCCATGGGAACGCATGGGACATTACCTCCTCCTGACTCTCCAACGATTGCGACAGTCTTACAGGGGGGGATGATGAGGTTGAAGTTCTTCAGGATCTGTTGGCCTGGTCTCGTTGGGTAACTGTGAAAAACAAATAAAAATGGCACTCACTGATATAGATAATTTGTGTTTGTTTGTGTGTGTCTTTTTGTTAATTTTGTCTTTCTGACGTGGTCTTGCCTGAAGGTAATGTTCATGAAGTCCACCCGTCCTGTCAGAGATTTGTAAGGAATGCGGCCTCCCCCCGAAAGTGGAATGGTAGGCTCCAAAGACAGGTACTCGAAAACACGGGCCCCAGAGCTGAGGCCTCTGACCATCTGGAAAACATGGTAGGTTCTAATTTCTTATTGCCATATCAACTGATCACCTTGTGAAACCTGAAACTGTACATTGATAGCAATGTATTTCTAACTTCTTCTATACGTCAAGTCTTTACTCACTTGGCCAAACAGGATAGAGATGCTGGCCAAAGACCTGAGGAAAATAACGTAAGGAAAGGTCAAATTCAGTTTGTTATTTTCTTAACGTACATTGAACACTTCCATTTGATCATGCAAGCATTTGGCTTAAGTGTTATCTTTGCTGACAACACATATTTTCAAATCAAATCAAATCAAACCTCTGCACCGTCTGTGAAGCCACCAGGAAAGACATGAGGTCACCTGGAGACATTTCATCACCCGCCATCAATGACCCACCAGCAAAGATGGTGCCTAAAACAATGCCTGCAAGAAAATGAACCATGTAATAGATAAGCAATGGCATACTTAAATAAATAGCAAGTTCGATCCACTATTCATGATAAAAGGAACTCACAGTTCAGGACGATATTTGACATTCCTTGGAAAACAGCTATCCCTGAGCCTAAAGATTCATTCATCTCACATGATTTGTCCACTTCCCAGGCATATAACCTGCAAAACATAGACAAATAGTTACATTCTTTCACACACTCCCTCTAATAAGCAGTGAAATTAGGAATGTTTTGAAAGACAATTGTGACTTTATTATAGGCCAGGTCTGATAATATTGTTTGATCTGGACTATAATAGACTGTCACTTACTGCATCTCTCGCTCCTCCATGGCAAAGGCTTTCACTGTCCTCACATTGCCAAGGGCCTCTTCTGCCACCCCTGTTGCTTTCGACACCTACACACCCACAACAACACACATACTGTATTTCAGTCTAGACACAAACAGACAGACAGTCAACACCAATGCTCAGCATACACCATTCTTCATGCTGTAATTCTGATAAACTCAGTAAAATGCTTTCTCGGTTGACACTTTTTCTATTTCTCTAATGTGATTTAGATAGCGTATGAGTCAGAGTCAGAATGAGTGATGATGTCACCTGTTCCTGAGCCAATCGGGACAGCCTGCGAAGGAGTGAGCCAATCAGAGCTCCTGCCCCCACCAGACAGGGAAGTATCACCACCGTCATACCAGTGAGTTTAGGGGAGATTACATAGAGGGACACGAAACAGCCAACCGTCTGCGTTACACTCCGCAGGCCCTGCAGATATGAGTAATTGGGGCAATATCATTAGATTTCGATCCTGTGAACTGTCTCTAGATGGGAACAACAGCTACTGAATAAATTATACTGAAAAGTTATGGCAAAATGTAATAGGGAAGTGCATAGGGGACCACAATGGAAATAAGCTTTATTGTGTTTTTATCCTCGATAATTTTGAATGTATGTAATGTTGTCTCTGGCTGGAGCAGCCTTTCTTCTTTTAATTATCCAATAAATTAATATGTACACAGCCATACCTGAGACACAACCAGTTTGAAGGAAGACTTGAACTCCTGAATATCAGCAGTCAAACGGTTCACCAGCATGCCAGTTTTGTTGGCATCAAAGAAGGCTACATCTTGCCTGAAACAATTGCCAAGTCTTGTGTTACCAACAGTGAAAGTTGGACAGTAGATAGTAGGTCTAGTGACATCTAGTCAGTCACTCTACTCTCTGTCTTGGAACTGGTCTATTCTACCTCGTTGCTTTCAATAGATATAACTGCAACTGGGTGTATACCTGAGTAAAGATTGGAAAAGGGTCTTCCTCATGTCTGCTGCTACTCGTTCCCCTACCCTGGAAAGCAGGATGATGTAACCGGTGGTCAGCAGACCCTGAAGCCAGGAAAGAGATTTCATGACCATATTGTTTTACTATGTATTTCACAGAAATAGATTATTCAATCTACAGTTAAATTAAAATTAGATCACGGACAATGCCTTTTTGGACATACAACTTACTTGGAGACCATACAATCCCAGCAACTTCAGAGCAGGTCCCCTCATCTCTCTCATGTAATCCCCAGTATGTTCTCTCATGTAGCGTGCCACTATGTTCACCAGATCGCCCAACATCAGGGGAATTTGAATATTCAAGATGGCAGCACCAAAAGCAAGCTGAAAAAAAAACATGATTGGTCTGAAATCACTCAGCATTCCAATACTATGAAAACACAATAAGTTCAACGACTACTGGAGTTTGGCCAACATGTAACTGTCTAAACAGTAGATTGTCCAGTAGTGTTAAGTTATGTTGCTCACCATGACAGCACCAAGAAGGGCAAAGAGCTGGGGTTTGACAAACTCCCACAGGATATGCCAGTCGAACTCAGGCTCAGTTTCTTTGGCTTGAAGCTCTAGTAGAACATTGTTATTCACATCTGCCTGGCAATATGCTACACTGCCAAGTAGTTGAGCAGAGACGGTGAGAACCACTGGCCCCAAGATGAACTTCAGGGCCCCCCCTGGCGGTCTTGACGTCCAGCAGGCAGATTGGCGGACTGCTGCTTGAGCCAGACCCCAGATACGTCCAGCAGCATTACTTGGCTGTCCAGAGGAGTTGCCTGCATTGGCCAATTGTGTTGTGTATAGCCGTGATCTGAAACGAAAACAAAACAAACAATATAACAAGCTGTACTGTTTGTAGTGTGATCTGTATTGTACAAGTTTGAGAGACCGGGACAACATGAGCTTAACAACTAAGAATAACTATGTGGTGGGCTTTTCGATCCATTTTTTTTATTATGGTGACAAACAAGTTACAAAAGGCATATGACACTTCTGGATGGTCCATTCCATTAACACCACTTTACTGAACAGTGAACAACACTACTTACAACTTTGGGACAGAGCTGAACTAATATCGTTTTCATAATGGATCACATTAGCTAGTGTAAAGTCTAAGGTCTGTAGCTAGCTGTCTGATCAGCTGACTACCGGCATTAGCCAACTAGAAAGTTGTCCTACCGTGGCTGTCTCCATAAATCGTGTGTTCTTTTCAAATGCGAATAGACGGGGCGCACCGGTGAAGTTGTACTGATTCGATTACAAAGTAAGTGAAACATATTTAGACGTTTTCACGGAAATCTAACAAAATTCAAAGAATCTGAGCGCTTAGCTCAGAAGGGTACAAGGAACAACATGCAGGCTGCCATGTTGACACTATCCCAGAATGCATCTCATTGGCAATGTACAGTAGATTGTTTAATGTCCATAACAAAACAAGCATTTTGATCGCTAAAAACAATGTTAAAAGGCTACAACATGAATCTTGCTAGAAGCGTTTTTATTGATCATCATTGGCGAAGATTATCTCTGTCATTGGATGAAAAAAAAACTTAATTCGTCTTGCGGAAGTGACGATGTAAAAATTAAGTGACGTCAATGGTGTTCTGTTGACGTTTGTTTGTGAAAGACGAAACAGTGGAAGCCCACGAATGATCTCTAACTATTTAGCTGGCCAGCTACTGTTAGTTGGGTTGTTATCTAACGTTACCCTAAACAGTTGTTGTTATCAACCCTTAATAGCTATTAGTTAAATAGATAACATTGGGTATAAAAATAGCTCGACAAATAACGTGGAAATCCAGGCCACTTGAATTTAGAATCAAGCGAATGGACGGAGAAGGGAACAATACCGTTACAATAGCAGTACATCAAGGCAAGGATACACGAGTAACGTTAACTGACTGGCTAGCAAGAAAATAAGCTGATCGAGGTAAGAACAGTTAGCTACCTTGCTAGATAGCTAGCTACGTGGTAGTTTGTTGCTGCCTTTGTTGGTGTTAGGTAACGTTAACCATTCAACGTCACATTGTAATGCTACGTTATCTAGCTAGCTAGCATAATAGCTAGCTACAGTAGTTTGCTGTCCCCAGCTGTCTGATTTTGCTTTAGCGAATGTTAGCTAACTAGTTATCTGTCAAACCGACTGGTTGGTTGTTGACAACAAGTAACCAACACAATATTTTGTAACTCTAAGTAGCTATGTATGCCTATTTCTGTTAGCTAGCCAACGTTACCTGTCACACTGTCGTGAACACGGCTGCTAGCTAACGTTAGCAAGTTAGATTCCAAGAAAGGCAAGAATGCATAGAAAACCAAATAGATCAGATATTCTAAAGCTAACGTTACACTTATCCAACCCTCCAGTAGAATGTTGTTGACAGCACATCTTGCTGTGAATTTTCTCACACAGCTGACATCATCTATGTAGTGTGTGTTCACTCTGTCTGACACTCGTTGTTGATGTATGCTACTCTTTTCAATCAACACCACAATAAGACTCTGTGTGTTCCCAACTTGCCTGTTGGAGGAGGTACAGGGAGAATGTGAAGCACAATGGCCAACTTTGAAGCTTACCAGGAGTACCAGCGGATTGATGACTTTGAGGAGGACTCACCTCCTGGGGAGGAGGACCTATTAGTGCATGTGCCAGAGGGCCTGAGTGGTACTGTACTTGTTATATTATAACGTCATATTTATTTTCCTATCAGGGCTAGACATAAAGACTATGTTATGGTATAATATGATTTGGTGTGATATTGTGATTCCTTGTAATGACACAGTACTACTATTTCCTATAAACCCAGGCTCTAGATTCACTTAAAGTTGTTGTTTTCTTCAAATCATACCTGATTACTACTGTTATTGCTGTTTTGTTGAACGAAGGTAATGGTTTCTTTAAGTCTCAATGTTACTTTTATTCCCACCCCTAATTTGCAGACTCATGGCACCATATCAAGAATCTGGACAACTTCTTCACAAGAATATCCTTTTAAGACGGGGCGGCAGGTAGCTTAGTGGGTAAGAGCGTTGTGCCAGTAACCGAAAGGTCGCTGGTTCTAATCCCCGAGCCGACTAGGTGAAAAATCTGTCGATGTGCCCTTGAGCAAGGCACTTAACCCTAATTGCTCCTGTAAGTCGCTCTGGATAAGAGCGTCTGCTAAATGACTAAAATGTAAATGTAAATGTAAGACATTTTTGCGATTGTGATAAACATGTTTCTCTGGCAGTATATATTGTAGCTTATTGTTTTGGAAATAAGCATTACTTTCAGTATGATGTTTAAAATTGCAGCTTTATCATGTCTGTTATCATTATTGTCACCTAACGAGCTCATTTAGAAAGGAGCAATTTCAAACACCGTTTTGACATTTTAATCTAATTCTGACAGTACGATGTTGCCGTATATAAATGCAACTCATGATGCACAGTGACTTTAAATGAGAGACTTGCCTCTGGAGAACGACTTTCAATTATGTGTGTTCTTCCAGAACACATCCTCTGTACTTTAATGATATTGATGCCTGGCTGGTTCACTTTACGTTGCTTTGTTGTGGTTTTGTTTCTCTCTAGTGGATGTATTAAGTCTACTTAAAAAACATACATCATGGTTATTATTTGATCCACCATCAAAGATTACTTCAAGAGTGGTTGCTTTGTAGGCTATGACAAAAAACACTTGACTCTGTTTTCCTTAACTTGAATTTCCACATCTATCAGTTTCATCAGAAGAATGGCTTTGCTTGTATGATGTTATCAGAGTTCTTTGAACTTTTGTAAGTATATCCATTTATTGACAAACCTCATGTTAATCTAAGATGTTTTCAACTTTGAAGACAACATTCAAGGTTTATATCGGCTAAGGTTTAACCCCAACATCTCAAACTCCTTATTGCAGTCAGTTCCTGTTTGTGGTCACATTCACAACGTTCCTCTTCAACTGTGTGGAGTATGATATCCTGTTTGCCAACCGGGCAGTGAACCACACAGGACCTGGCCAGAACCCCCTGGACAGGAACAAGGTCTCTCTGCCTGATGCCATCCTACCAAGCCAGCAGTGCACTGAGAGGTAGGTCAATCAGCATTGGCTTAGTAGATGGATTGGTAGATGGATGGATGGATAGCCTATATAGATATGGTTGGCTATAATAATGTGTAGTTGTGGTAGAGATAGTTGTCTTTGTTGCCAGTTCAGGTTTATTGTTTTTGTGCATGATCCCACAGAAACTAACCTGAGTGCTTGACTGCATAGGTAAATTGGGTGGTTTCCTGATGTACCCCTTGTTATACCACTAGAATGCCTCTCCCCCATGTGACCTACTTGTTGTGTGTATGTACTGACATGTATGTGTAAGTGATAGATGCACACACACACTACATGTTAATGTTTTTACATGTATGTAAATTGTAAAGTATTTAGTCTGTAATGCCTTTTTTGTTATAATTCGGACCCCAGTAAGACTAGCTGTTGCTAATGGGGATCCTAATAAATCCCCAAATCACTGCCAATGCCATAATGTAAATCCTTCTTCATGACATTTAAATTGGGTATTTTATTCTCTTATGACAAGACACAATAATACCAGGGTATAAATCTCACAGCCTGCAGAACTTCATCAGGCCTGAAAAGGGTATTTCATTTGTCCAACATAATTTAATGACGACCAGTCATTCTGAGGCTAATGTTTGCTTATTGGATTGTGTTAGATGTGGTTTTACTATAAGACATGCTCACATTCATAGAGATACACTGTGGAGCACAGAGCTACACTGTGGAGCACAGAGCTCTGGCCTACTTTCACATTGCCTGTGGGTTATACTTCCACTCAGAACATTATGATGAAGAAATCTTTTTCTTGTGTATCAGAGATGCTAATTGCGATATGAGCTCTTTTGAGTGGCGAAGTCTTATCATTGTCATTTCCTATTATCTAATTGGAATTTGACATTAATTAAATTAATTTGGAGTGCTATTGGCACGTAAGTCTAATTGTGTTCAATGGCCCGAGGGAGGGATGCTGTTTTAATGAAATTTGATCCAAATGTATTTTAGTTCGCCTTTGTGTGCTGTGAACTAGGTGAACCCTTGTGTTGAAGAGCTTAGTTAGTTAGGCCTACTGAGCAAAGGCTTTGGTAGTCATGACTTCTCTGTCAAAGACAAATCTGAAAGATAAATTATGTTCCCCGCAACTACATTTGAATATTTTATTATAAAATACTAAATGATGTGTATTTGTTTGTTGCAGAAGAATACAAACTAAATTATTCAGCTAAGCATATATCCTACTATGACTGATTAATACTCTGCACATTCGCATAGCCTTGGCCTAAAACACTTGTAAACAGGAGGGAAGTTGCAACACTCTCAGCCTGTAGTTGATGACCGGTTCCTGGAGCAGGTTATTTGTGTATCAGTGCACTGTGTTCAGAGTAGTACCAGGGAAAACAATGTAATGGATAGCCCCTGCATGGTAAGTCTCACTCAGGGCCAGCTCACTGAGTAGCTGGAAGGAGTCACTCTTGGGGTCTGGGCAGGCAGTCTGTGGACCACATGACACCCCCAAGCTCTGCTGCTAGACCCAGTCCCCTCCACCCCCGCCACAGTTCTTTCCAAGATGGATAAACAAGCTTGCCTGTTTTCTTCAGCAATATCATTAATCTGATTCTGCACACAAACACAATCCTAGGCTGGGGGGTTATAGTTGCCCCCCCCCCCCCATCCCTTCTCTAAGAACCCTCCATGACTGAATGGGTGTTTAGATGGAAGATGATGACACACCACTGCTAGGAATTCTAATCGAGGAACAGTATGTCCTACCATTTAAAACCACAGACTTTGTCTGCTCTCCCATCCTCCCCCCAACTCAATGTTTCACCATTGAGTTGGTCTGGAAATGAAAAAGATGTCACACAAATCAGGAAGTAGCCTAATTTTGTCACAACGTTGTTTGTTTTCGTTTTTTAATTTCCAAATTAAACTCCTGAATGTATGTTTATGTTTATTCTCCTCAATATGTTTACCAGGGTGGTTAGCTAGAATAGATCATAACCTGTGTGTGACATGTTCTGTGTTTTGAAATGAAATGGGATACTTAAAAGTTTACCAGCTGATTCTCAGCAGCTCTCTGATACGCAGGAGAGACAAAGTTAGTCGGACATAACCAAGCCACAAACTGTAAACAGGAGTTAATTTATCTAAGATACCTCTCAGGCCCAACAACATACATTACAACATAAGGTTGGTTCAGGTCACCTGTGAGGAGTCTTAAACCGACAGATTTATAAGGCTCCTTTACTCTAATTTGTAGATAGTTATTTTGGTCATACATCAATGGTGAAAATAAATAATTTTGACCTTCTCTCTGTGCATGGCCTGCATCATCATCCAACGGGGTATGGTAGTAGGTGCCAGGTGCACCTGTTTGAGTGTGTCAAGAACTGCAACGCTGCTGGGTTTTTCACGCTCAACAGTTTCCCGTGTGTATCAAGAATGGTCCACCACCCAAAGGACATCCAGCCAACTTGACACAACTGTGAGAAGCATTGGAGGGCAAAAGGGGGTGCAACTCAATATTAGGAAGGTGTTCCCTCAATGTACACATTCATTTTCCATTACGTGAAATCAACCTCTAATGTCAAACAGAGACTAGAAATATGAATTATCTCCCCCCTTTGTCATCCCTTCTTTTCCCCAGGATCCAGGAGAACAGTTGGATCATCTTCCTGCTCATCATGGCAGCCATCTTCTGGGTCTACCGGATGATCAAGGTCTTCTGCAACATCCTCAGCTACTGGGAAATACGCCAGTTCTACATCAAAGCACTGAAGATCAGCATGGTAAGGCTTCTTTTATGTCCACTGGAGGTCAAATTATATACATCAATCCCTTATAAAGGTTTCAGTGACCAGGAATAACACAATAGGGGATAATTGCATTTTACTTTTGATCCTAGAGTCTCACGAAACAGTGGTATGCCGATTGTTTTCAGACCGTTTTAGCTTACTGTAGTTGTCAGCTTCCTTGGAATCCATTGGTTTCAAAAAGATATCAAGGCAAATGTTCATCGTCATACCCACCCAGCTTACCTATAAGTAGGTGTCCCTCATATCAGGGTACAAAGTCTGAACACCTTTGACCTCTCCCCTTTCTAGGACGAGCTGTGTAACTTCACATGGCAGGAGGTCCAGGACCGTCTGATCAGCCTGCAGCGGGAGCAGCAGATGTGTATCCACAAGAAGGAGCTAACTGAGCTGGACATCTACCACCGCATCCTGCGCTTCAAGAACTACATGGTGGCCATGGTCAATAAGTCCCTGTTACCTGTACAGCTTCAGCTCCCCCTGCTGGGCAACCTTGTGTTCCTCACCCAGGGCCTCAAGTACAACTTTGAGCTGATTCTCTTCTGGGGTCCGGGGTCGCTGTTCCAGAACAAATGGAACCTGCACCCTAAGTACAAGCGTGCAGGGAACCGTCTGGAGCTGGCCCAGCAGCTGAGCCGGGTCATTCTTCTACTGGGCGTGGCCAACCTGCTCCTCTGCCCCTTCATCCTGGTGTGGCAGGTGCTATACTCCTTCTTCAGCTACACCGAGGTCATCAGGAGGGAGCCGGGGAGTCTGGGAGCCCGCCGCTGGTCCATGTACGGCCGCCTCTACCTGCGCCACTTCAACGAGCTGGACCACGAGCTGCACGGCAGGCTGGGCCGCGGCTACAAGCCCATCTCCAAGTACATGAACTCGTTCACCTCGCCACTCCTCACCGTGCTGGCCAAGAACGTGGCGTTCTTCTCGGGCTCGGTACTGGCTGTGCTCATCGCACTGACCGTGTATGATGAGGATGTCTTGACTGTGCAGCACATCCTGACCGCCATCACCGTGCTGGGAGTGGTTATCACCATCACCAGGTAAGCCACGGGACAGGGGGAATGGTGATCTCTCGGGATGATCTTGTAGTGATTTGTGGCTGTGTTTCATTCGAAAAATTGTTCCTTACCCCTTCCCATTGCAGATCTGAGTTGGTATGCAACAGCTCCACCTAGATTCCACCATATTCTAACAGACAGTAATGAGCGAGGGAACATTGTTTTTAGAAAAAATGTCAACCTTTGTTAAACCCGCAGACATACCAGTATGTCCATAATCCATATCATATATTGTCTTAAATGTTGTGTGAAGTAGAGAGATGACGTCTGTGAATATGCCCTCCTCCTAGGTCCTTCATCCCAGACGAACACATGGTGTGGTGCCCGGAGCAGCTGCTGCAGTGTGTGCTGGCTCACATCCACTACATGCCAGACCACTGGAGGGGCAACGCCAACAAGAGCGAGACCCGGGACGAGGTGGCACAGCTGTTCCAGTACAAAGCGGTGGGTGAGACGGGCCAGACAGTAAATAGAGACTGCTCATTGGCTGCAGCTTAGGAAGAATGAAACTATTCACAGGGTGTACAAAACATTAGGAACACCTTCCTAATATTGATCCTGGGGAAAAAAAGGGATGACAAAGGGGGGAGATAATTCATATTTCTAGTCTCTGTTTGACATTAGAGTTTGATTTCACGTAATGGAAAATGCATGTGTACATTGAGGGAACACCTTCCTAATATTGAGTTACACCCCCTTTTGCCCTCAGAACAGCCGCAATTCGTCGGGGCATGGACTCTACAAGGTGTTGAAAGCGTTCCACAGTGATGCTGGCCCATGTTGACTCCAATGCTTCCCACAGTTGTGTCAAGTTGGCTGGATGTCCTTTGGGTGGTGGACCATTCTTGATTCACACGGGAAACTGTTGAGCGTGAAAAACCCAGCAGCGTTGCAGTTCTTGACACAAACAGGTGCACCTGGCACCTACTACCATGCCCTGTTCAAAGGCACTTAAATATTTTGTCTTGCCCATTCACCCTCTGAATGGCACAAATACACAATCCATGTCTCAGTTGTCTCAAGGCTTAAACATCCTTCTTTTACCAGTCTCCTACCCTTCATATACACTGATTGAAGTAGATTTAACAAGTGACATCAATAAGGGATCATAGCTTTCACCTGGATTCAGCTGGTCAGTGTATATGACTTTATGACATACGGTCTGAAATTGAAATGTTCTTGTAACACAAGACTTGCTCAATGCCTAAACAAGTGCTTTAATTGTATGAAGTTATTCATGTACACTCCAATTCTCATATGACCTCACCATAATACTGTATGCCACTTTCCACACAGGAACTAATTCATCTTATGCCACTTTAACCATTCGTTTGGGGGACACAATGGAAAGTATTCAGACTTGAGATCAAAGTGCTTAACTTTTCTCGTAACTCTCTCTTTGACAATCAGTGAATGACATAGGCTATGTGAAAGTTCAAGTTAAGGGTGCAGATCTCAAGTCTGAATACCGCCAAATCCTCTTCCAGTATAACTCACAACTATTGTCTGTCTGTGTCTCTGTGTCTGTCTGTCTGTTTAGCTGTTTATCCTGGAGGAGCTGCTGAGCCCCATCGTCACGCCCTTCATCCTCATCTTCCTCCTGAGGAACAAGTCCCTGGAGATCATTGACTTCTTCAGGAACTTCACCGTGGAGGTGGTTGGGGTCGGAGACATCTGCTCCTTCGCACAGATGGACATCCGTCGCCATGGAAACCCTCTGGTGAGTTCCTGTAATTTAGGGTATGGGAAAGGGACTTTGATACGGAAAGTATTGTTATTACTTTGTTGAAATGAAAGACTCACTGCAGTTTTTAGGTCAGAGATCACCAGGTCATCAATATTGTATCAGAAATGAATGTGTATGTGTCCTCTCCTGATATTAGTCACTTATGCATAGTTTATTTTAATTTATCTTTTACCCCCTTTTTCTCCCCAGTTTCGTGATATCCAATTGCGATCCAATTACAATCTTGTCTCATCGCTGCAACTTCCCAACGTGCTCGGGAGAGGCGAAGGTCGAGTCATGCGTCATCCGAAACATTACCCGCCAAGCCGCGCTTCTTAACACCCACTCGTTTAACCCGGAAGCCAGCTGCACCAATGTGTCGGCAGAAACACCATTCAACTGATGACCGAAGTCAGCATGCAGGCGCCCGGCCCGCCACAAGGTGTCGCTAGAGCGCAATGAGCCAAGTAAAGACCCCCCGGCCAAACCCTCCCCTAACCCAGATAACGCTGGGCCAGTTGTGCGCCGCCCTATGGGACTCCCGGTCATGGCCAGTTGTGACACAGCCTGGGATCGAACCCCAGGATGGACACATAGTTAAAAAATAATAATGCATTGTTCCAGTGTGTAATTGTCACACGTTGTCTGTTTCAGTGGATGTCTGAGGGGCAGACGGAGGCGTCTGTGTACCAGCAAGCTGAGAATGGCAAGACTGAGCTGTCCCTGATGCACTTCACCATCAAGAACCCCCGTTGGCAGCCCCCCCAGGAGAGCTCAGTGTTCATCAGCCATCTGAAGGAGAAGGTGCACCAGGATGCCCAGGGGGGACCCCCCACCCAGCTGCTGCTCTCTGAGGCCCCGCTCTGTTCCTCACTGCTTTCCAACGGGTCTGGCAATGGAGTGAGTAACTACAGTAACTGCCCACTACACCCACATCCCCAGCCAGCCAATTCATAGTCAGTCACAGTTAGTACACAGGAAGATATTTGCCTCAACACTGTAACGGCAATCCTACTCTGCTAATCATTCAACAATGATGTCAATGTATTGCAATTTGTCTAAGGTTTGGTATTGGATTACAGTATGTTGAGTTAAATCTTGTCAATATGCTTGTATACTGACCTCTGTATCTCTGGGTTATGTTTTCCTGTCCAGCCTGACAACCTATTGGCCAGTGTCCTGGCCCACCCTGTGCTGACCGCGTCAGGCCTACCAGGCCGAGACCGCCGCTTCGTTCCTCCCAGCACGGCTGCCTCTGCCGCCGCCAGCGTCCTGGCCTCGCTGTCCAGCTCCCACTCTCAGCTCCCCCACGCCAGCCGCTCCCGCTCGCATGTCCTTCTACCCTCCACCCACCCCGACAGCACCATGTACTGCAGTGACCGCACAGTCATCGACAGGTAAGTAGACAGACGCCACGCTCTGCAAACACACACTCTGCAAACACAACACTGTTGTCTAGGTTCATCCATAACACAAAAGTGTTGATTGATTAGATACAGTACTTGTTTGTCGAAGGTGCGTTATTGATTTAAATATGAGGTTCGTTGTTAGTCTGTGAATTAAGTGATGAATAACAATGTACTTCAATGTTTTTTTTAGGCTTGCTGATAATAGCTTGTTTTTATTTCCTCAGCATGTCAGCCAGTGATTCTCGGATGAAGAGCACTACATTGCTTTCAGAGTTTGCCTCGGCTGAGATGAGTCTCCATGCTATTTACATGCATGAGGTAGGTCACTTTGAAGAGATGGCCTCAGGGTCCTTCTTTTCATTTAACTTTGTACACACACGCAGACACACACATATACCGAGTGTGTGACGTGTGTCCCTCTCTGTCCCTAGGTCCACCAACAGAACTCGCTCCCCCACCAGAGAACATCAGGCCAGTGGCAGAACCCAGTGCCAATGAGAGAGCTAAGCAGCAACACTGGTACGTAACAGTCATTATTCTGTTTTTACTTACTTAAGATCTTGGCTAAAGTCAGATGGAGCGTGTTTGGTAGTTGGGATAGTTTTAGCTTATGACATCCAGTTGACCAACTGTCTATGCTCCTATCCTCTATCCACGCAAGCAGGTTCTCAGACGCACAGCGGACACACAGCAGTCAGCCTGTCTAATATGCCCACCCCGCTGCGTCTGGGAGGCTGGACGGAGGAAGAGGAGGAGGAGGATGCAGAGGAAGAGGAAATCATTAACAGCAGGTCGACTCCTAAACAGGACTCCAAGAGTAGCTATTGAAGTGCCTTAAATAAATGGGTTAGTTCCATCACACCTCTATTTCCAACACACAGACACTCCTCCTCCATAATCTATAGGCTAATATTGTCAGAAATGTATCTTATATCTAGTACTACTGTTTTTGCTTTTCTTAAACGTGCAATATGTAGAAATAGCTCCGCCATTTCCTGTTTTCTAAAATTCTAAAATGTTCGTCTGATTTCAGTTTGTGACAACAAGCAAGTGTAGAGAATTGTTGTACCATCTAAACCGCTGTGAAATAGCTTTATAACCAATAATAACCAAAAATATCGTATTTTTCAGCTGTTTGAAGCTGATGTACAAAAGAAGCAAAAATTTAACTTGCGGAGAGGAAACATAGAAATATTGCACATAGAATGGATCTACTGCTTGTCAGACTTGCTTTCAATAAGAATGACATAGACATTTTATATACAGTGGGGAGAACAAGTATTTGATACACTGACGATTTTGCAGGTTTTCCTACTTACAAAGCATGTAGAGGTCTGTAATTTTTATCATAGGTACAATTCAACTGTGAGAGACGGAATCTAAAAGAAAAATCCAGAAAATCACATTGTATGATTTGCATTTTATTGCATGACATAAGTATTTGATCACCTACCAACCAGTAAGAATTCCGGCTCTCACAGTCCTGTTAGTTTTTCTTTAAGAAGCCCTACTGTTCTCCACTCATTACCTGTATTAACTGCACCTGTTTGAACTCGTTACCTGTATAAAAGACACCTGTCCACACACTCAATCAAACAGACTCCAGCCTCTCCACAATGGCCAAGATCAGAGAGCTGTGTAAGGACATCAGGGATAAAATTGTAGACCTGCACAAGGCTGGGATGGGCTACAGGACAATAGGCAAGCAGCTTGGTGAGAAGGCAACAACTGTTGGCGCATTTATTAGAAAATGGAAGAAGTTCAAGATGACGGTCAATGACCCTCGGTCTGGGGCTCCATGCAAGATCTCACCTTATGGGGCATCAATGATCATGAGGAAGGTGAGGGATCAGCCCAGAACTACACGGCAGGACCTGGACAATGACCTGAAGAGAGCTGGGATCACAGTCTCAAAGAAAACCATTAGTAACACACTACGCCGTCATGGCTTAAAATCCTGCAGCGCACGCAAGGTCCCCCTGCTCAAGCCAGCGCATGTCCAGGCCCGTCTGAAGTTTGCCAATGACCATCTGGATGATCCAGAGGAGGAATGGGAGAAGGTCATGTGTTCTGATGAGACAAAAATAGAGCTTTTTGGTCTAAACTCCACTCGCCGTGTTTGGAGGAAGAAGAAGGATGAGTACAACCCCAAGAACACCATCCCAACCGTGAAGCATGGAGGTGGAAACATCATTCTTTGGGGATGCTTTTCTGCAAAGGGGACAGGACGACTGCACCGTATTGAGAGAAGGATGGATGGGGCCATGTATCGCGAGATCTTGGCCATCAACCTCCTTCCCTCAGTAAGAGCATTGAAGATGTGTAATGGCTGGGTCTTCCAGCATGACAACGACCCGAAACACACAGCCAGGGCAACTAAGGAGTGGCTCCGTAAGAAGCATCTCAAGGTCCTGGAGTGGCCTAGCCAGTCTCCAGACCTGAACCCAATAGAAAATCTTTGGAGGGAGTTGAAAGTCCGTATTGCCCAGCGACAGCCCCGAAATCTGAAGGATCTGGAGAAGGTCTGTATGGAGGAGTTGGCCAAAATCCCTGCTGCAGTGTGTGCAAACCTGGTCAAGACCTACAGGAAACGTATGATCTCTGTAATTGCAAACAAAGGTTTCTGTACCAAATATTAAGTTCTTCTTTGCTGATGTATCAAATACTTATGTCATGCAATAAAATGCAAATTAATTACTTAAAAATCATACAATGTGATTTTATGGATTTTGGTTTTAGATTCTGTCTCTCACAGTTGAAGTGTACCTATGATAAGAATTACAGACCTCTACATGCTTTGTAAGTATGAAAACCTGAAAAATCGGCAGTGTATCAAATACTTGTTCTCCCCACTGTGTGTGTGTATATATATATATATATATATCTGAAATCAGTTGGGTCGTACAGAATTACATGATGGACCTTTAAAAAAAGAATCTGTGGCTGATTGTCTTTTCTCTTCTTTTGCAGTGTTTACACTTTCTTGTCTGGATGAACATTGTGGCCTTAGATGATCTTTTTGGAGTATAGGATAGATAGGACATTTATGACATCACACAGCACAGGCAGTTGGGGAACTCATTGGATAACCACTGTCTCCATCTCCGCCCCTCCTCCATGCCTCTCCTCCTATCACATCAGGAGTTGTTGTGTCGTCAGGGAAACCAACTGTATGTCTTCCGTCCCTCTCTCCATGTCATTGTTTTGTTATAGAATGTATATACATCGCTCATAGAGGACTGGAGTCTGTGTGTGTGCGTGTTTCGGGACTCGGGGAAAGAGTGGCATGCACAGCCAGGACACTTGCAGGGCATGCTTGAGCATGGTATGCAGCAAAACCTGTCACACTTTTGTTGCGTATTCATGTATTTAAAAACAAATATATATATATATATATATATATTACGTTTGATTTGTGCATTTGGGAGGTTTACAATGTGGGTCTGGGTTCACTTTCTCATGGTGGAAATGGTGTCTTTCTTGGTGCTGAAGAGACTATGGAGTGAAGGTGTATCATATTAGCTGCCTGACCATTTTCACTATATGAGGAAAGTTGAGTGCAAAATTCTACACTGGCGTATTTGGCCCTTACTTATTGCTTGACATTTGTAAATACACTTTAGCGTCTTACCTCTATATGAATATTTAAGTTTAGTTGTTTTTAATCCTTGGGGCAGTTTTAATCCTTGGTGAAGATGAAAAGTACTGAAAACAGTGACATGAAGTAGGCTGCAACTATACTACTACTACTGCTACTACTAAGGTCACCGATAGGACCCCACAAGAAAATCTGACGAAAGCCTACAGATGGGCAAGATTAATTAACCACAATTCTAAACTGGATAAAATCTAATTAAAAGCTGCTGTCTGACCTTAATGGGCCTAATATCATGTTTTCTTCAGTATTAAGTTCGTTCTCTTTCTTTAAAATCCTGGGTGACTCTAAGACAGGATTCAACATATAATAACTTGATTATTCTGTATCAAAGTATCTTCCACGTACAGTCTCCACTGGCAACAAGGGTGTTATACTTGACAAAGGTATGTAAATCAAGATTACATATTTGCAGAAGCAGTAACTACATTGTTGTGGGTAGGTATGAGAATAGGCAGTGGAGGGTTGCATATCATGTACAGTAAATCATGAAGTGTTGTATGCATTGATTTTGCATGTACTGCTCAACATTTTGTTCACGAAACACTTCCCCCTATGTACACACAACAAGTGAACATTATTATTATTTTGCAATTACAGCAATCAGATCTTGAGGGTTTGCTTTGTTCATAAATTAATCCTATATGAGTATTTTCTTTCCTTTTCTCAGAGAACAGCCTCAGATGTCTTTTTAAATTAGATAATTCTCCCTTTATTGTCCCAAATATTTAAGTAATTAATGTATTTAAAGTAACTGTCCAGTGAAAATCACACTTTTATAAGTTAATATTCTGTTAACTCATCCTATACTCATATTTGTGGCCGAAGAATAAATTGGAGGGGGAAAAAACACTTCAAAAACCCCACCTCAAACTTGTATATCAAAAATTTTTGCTATATCCTCATAGAGCAGGGGTATTCAACTCTTACTCTACGAGGTCCAGAACCTGCTGGTTTTCTGTTCTACCTGATAATTAATTGCACTCACCTGGTGTCCCCGGTGTCCCCGGTCTAAATTAGTCCCTGATTAGAAGGAACAATGAAAAAATGCAGTACATCTAGCTTCGAGGTCCAGAGTTGAGTTTGAGGGTCATAGAGGATGAGCTGGCCAATCAGCGGTCTACTCGCATGAATATGTTTCATGACCGGTATATGCCCACACCATTCTATTGTTGGGGTATGCCCACACCATTCTATTGTTGGGGTATGCCCACACCATTCTATTGTTGGGGTATGCCCACACCATTCTATTGTTGGGGTATGCCCACACCATTCTATTGTTAGGGTATGCCCACACCATTCTATTGTTGGGGTATGCCCACACCATTCTATTGTTGGGGTATGCCCACACCATTCTATTGTTGGGGTATGCCCACACCATTCTATTGTTGGGGTATGCCCACACCATTCCATTCCATACTTAATTTAAAACATGTAGTAGGAAAACAACTATTTCACTCATATTGTAATTCATTATGTCATATTTCATAGAAATCTGGAAACACTGGACAGTTACTTTAATATATTTCATTTAGTATTTATTGTTGAAAAATTATCTTTATAGTAAATACATTCATACCAAATATGATTGGGATCTAATGTTAATAACAGAATGTCTATACAGAAATATTGAAGGTGCCCCATGTAAACCTAACTTGTTTTAAAAACTTTAAGTTGAATTGCCTTTGACACAACATTTTTGGATATGCAACTTCGAAATGAAGTGTGCTTCAGCACCCCTTACTGGTTTCATCAGTACAGTACAACTCAAAAGCAAACTTGTCTGCATGTAAATGCTGAATGTAACCCAGCCATCATCCCTAGAAATAAGTGGCATGATGTATCCTTGGTACTGTAGCCAGAACTGTTTATTGAAACATTACACAAAAGTTCCGTCACTGCTACAGTAACCATGCCCCACTGATCCAATAACCTAGTCCACACCTATATGTATATCTCTGTCTTCGCCACTACAGTTCAGTCATTTAGCAGATGCTCTTATCCAGAGCGACTTACAGTTAGTGATTGCATATATAAGTTCTGGTCCCCCATGGGAATCGAACCCACAACCCTGGCATTGCAAGCTCCATGCTCTACCAACTGAGCCAAACGGGACCACTACTGTAAGACTTTAGAGAGTACAGGTGTTTGACGACTTTAGAGACTTTTTCCCTTCATTTCGTTTTGTTCATGTGTGTTTTGAAGGGGTGTGGGTGTAGACATCAACCTAACTATGCTAAGCTAACATTGACTCAAAAGTTTTGCACTGACTGAAAATACAAATGATATTGATAGAGATACCTGCATCAAACTAATTTTTTTGATAGATCAAGCCGAGGTCTCAAAGGGACAGTGAGTGGAACTCCCATCCTGAATGGCCTCACTGTATATATAATTATCACGTGGGCCTATCACAGACCTGGTTGTTGTTACCTCTGGTCAGTAAAACTTCACCCAGTAGTGGGAAATGTCTGTAAATGTTTTTAGTAACATTATAGGCCTAGTCAATGCTACATATGGTATTGCTGTTGGTGTTCCATTTGTTTTACGGATGTAATGAGTTTTAGGAGAGACATGGTAGTTCATGTGTCTTGCCAGTTTCCATAGCTAGATCGCACTGCCTCTCACTATCTTTAAAAAATATATATTTTGCTTTATTTTGAGCAATGCCTTAGGGTTAGCATTAGTTCCTTATTAGAAACCATTGTATGTAAACCTTAAGATCTAATTTTACTTTATATTTTAGCAGCACATAATGTACAGTATTTATTTTGGAAGGTTGGTCATGTTTTGGCATCAAGTATACAGTGGGAAATATATTCTAATATTGTGGATGAATCTCGTGTAACATCAACTACAATGCACTGATATTTGACATCAGAGTAGTCAAATCACTTTCACCTGATGACCGAATTTATCTTATCGAAGTGATTCGTTCTGTACTGTCTGCCTCCCCAGTCCAAAATAATCAGTTGGGGAGGGGAAATGTTCTATACCCTTTTCATGGATGTTGAATTATTATTTAATTCCATCCTTGAGGCTCCCCATTCAATAGCATCGCTTCTTATCCACTACAAACCAGTCTCCCAAAAGACTAAAACATTTTGACTGGTACAAGGTGCTAAGTTTTCATATTCTAGTGTTGAATAGATGAGACATCTTTTCTCTGTTACTTAGGTTTGTTCTTTTTGTTTGTTTTGTTAATTTAAAGAAACACTAGCTGAGAATGAACAATGCCAAAATAACTTGTTTTCAGCACAGCTTTATTGTATACATTATTTGTTTTCTGTAGCTGAATAGGCAAAGGAATTCTTATTTTGTGTGTATTTAATCATTGAAGTGTGTCCCAAGATGTAATGTACTTGATTTGAAATAAAAAATTTAATGTACATTCTGTTCTATGCATTTCTTGAGTTTAATTGGCAATGTTTGCATTGGCACAAACTTTCCAAATGGAATTCCTAAACTGCCATGAAACATTTAATGAATAACTCAGTGCACAGACTTTATCTTTTTAAATTGTATTTTGCAGTTTATTAGTACGATAAACAGAAACTGGACATAATTATTAGTTAACATTCAACAATTGGCATGTAAGAATAGGTGCGTCAGCACTATTTTTCATTTAAACAAATTGCAAACAATTCAGAAGGTAAGAAAACAAAGCTATTAGCAGCATTTTAGAAAAAGAAGCTAAGTAAAGGTTGTTCACCCGCCATAATTTGAAGTTCTTATTAAGTTTCCATTTTGCTCCTCCCTTCCTATAGGCAGAAACTCAAACAGGAAATACCCGTGTTAAGGACTATTCAATGCTGGTCTGACAAATCGGAATTCATGCTTCAAGATTGTTTTGATCACGGGGACTGGGATATGTTCCGGGTAGCTTCCGAAAATAATTTAGACTAATACACTGAAACGGTGACTGAGTTTATCAGGAAGTGTATAGGTGATGTTGTGCCCACTGTGAATATTAAAACCTACCCTAACCAGAAACCGTGGATAGATGGCAGCATTCGCGCCAATCTGAAAGCGCGAACCACCGCATTCAACCATGGCAAGGTAACTGGGAATATGGCAGAATACAAACAGTGTAATTACTCACTCCGCAAGACAATTTACCTGGCAAAACATCAGTATAGAGACAAAGTGGACACAGACACGAGACGTATGTGGCAGGGTCTACAGACAATCACGGACTACAAAAGGAAAACTACCCACGTCGCCGACACCGACGTCTCGCTTCCAGACAAGTTAAACACCTTATTCGCCCGCTTTGAGGATAACACAGTGCCACTGACGAGGCCCACTACTCCTTCTCCGTGGCCGACGTGATTAAGACATTTAAGCATGTTAACCCCTGCAAGGCTGCCGACCCAGACTGCATCCCTAGCCGCGTCCTCAGAGCATGCGCAGACCAGCTGGCTGGTGTGTTTATGGACATATTCAATTTCTCTCTTTCCCAGTCTGCTGTTCCCACATGCTTCAAGATGGCCACCATTGTTCCTGTACCCGAGAAAGCAAAGGTAACTGAACTAAATGACTATCGCCCAGTAGCACTCACCTCTGTCATCATGAAGTGCTTTGAGAGACTAGTCAAGGATCATATCACCTCTACCTTACCTGTCACCCTAGACCCACTTCAATTTGCTTACCGCCCCAATAGACCCACAGAGGATGCAATCGCCTGTGGGATCACATGCAGAGATCATCAGTTCACTCACATCGTGTCTCACAAAGACACGGC